GTGAAATATTTTTTTTAAATTTCATAATCATATTTAAGAAAAACTACAAGGTTTTCTTTCTTTTTTTTAATTTTTTATTTTATTTCTGAATTAGAAATGAATCGACAGGTCCGACAAAACCGTATATGTGTGTTGTTGTTGTTTTGTTTGTTTGTTTTTTGTTTTTTTGTTTTTTTTGATGATTTGAAAAAAACAACAACAATTCTTTCTTGTTGTTTTTGTTGTTGTTTTTTTTTTTTTTGGGGTGGGGCATGGGGGGGGAAAAGAGATATGAAAATTTTTTGTTGTTGTTTTTTTTTTTTTTGGAGTGGGGCATGGGGGTGGAAAAGAGATATGAAAAGGGGGGGGGCAGTAGTAGACATGCATTTATATAACTATTTTTTTTATTAACATAGAACATTTGTAATTCCGTATCTCAGGTCGTATTACTCCAGGTAAATGGCATTGAAATGTAAGCACCTATTTAAAATGGTAATTACTAGGATAGGAAACAACTATTTTGTATAATTCTAACCCCAAAATTGTTTACCACAACAAACAACACTAATAGCTATACCACTGACGGGAAATGGCTAAATGGTTTGATAGCTAAACACCGTGACCATTTCATTATATTTACGCACATTTACGAACATGACCATTAGCTTATTTGCCCGTCTAGGGAGACAAACTACTGGGGGTGCGCAAACTGTTGACCACGCCATCGCCGCCACTGCCACACATAGGGATAGCCATCGCCGCCACTGCCACGCACAGGGGTTTGGAAACTCCTTAGCTAAGATAGGAGAGAGTCTATACCTCTGCCCCCACCCCCACCCCCTTTTCAACCCAACCATTTACAGCAATGAATAAATTCCATGCGTTAATGTGAATAATGAGAGGGGGGGGGAGGAGCCAGTCGAGGTATCCTATGCCATGTCCTGAAGTCGCAAAAAACAACAACACAAAAACGTGTAATGGATACCACCACAGGACTTAAACGAGACTTGAATTTATTTCTGCATGTAAACGAGGGAGATGGGGGCGAGAAAGGAATTCGCCGTTGTCGTCTGCGTCTTTTCTTATTGTAATTGTTTTGTTTTGTTGGTGTTTTGAAACGAATAGTGGACATCCTCTCCCGCCTTGCCGCACCTACGCGCGTACAACCAACTTTAAATTGAAAACAACGAGGAGCACTTGTGTTAACAGATAACACACAGGAAGCATACTGTGTATCTTGTTTCACTTGATGCTAGCGATGGCGCTCTCCTGTACGAGAGTGTGGGCATTGGTCTTGGTTGCTGTTGATCTTCATATAAACACATAGCAAACACATTATGTGTAGGAAAGTGTGTTTTTTTTTTTACATACTGTTTTATAATTGTTGTTTAGTTTGGCGAATCGTTTGTTAAATTATAGAAATATAAGAAATTATAAGAAATAGAAAATGCCCCCCCCCCCAGCTGCGAGGCCAATAGGCCATGACAGGCAGTTCCGGCTCATAGCAACAAGAACTCAGTACAGCAACTGCTCATTCCTGCCAAAAACAATCAGGGACCAGAACACGCTTCCAACGCAACCGTTTGGGCGACTACACTTGACACATTTGCGTCTATTGCCTCCTGTCTTCCGACCACAAGTTCTTCATGCCATCGCTGAGTAGCCCTTGCAACCAGTATTAAGTATCCTCTTCAAAGCCACGCACAGTTACATCGCGAACCCCTCTACAAACATAGGAGCCAGAATGATCAAGACATGGTTATGGGCCCCTCAAAATATAGAAGAAGAACAAGAAAACATTTCAATTTTTTTGTCAGGTATTATTTGATATTTTTACCCTGTTCAAAATGCCAACGTACACTCAAGAAACTGACAGCTATTCTGAACACAATGATTTACCAAACGCTTTGCTACAGACCGATTTTAGGGAACAGCAAAAACTCAGACAAGGACTTACATGACTAAAAACAATATGTGCAAGCGAATCAAAACAAATTTCCATTTTTTTTTAAAATCAATAAAAGCATCTTATCTGATAGTTCGAAGAGCAAATGCCCAGATGGACCCTGGATCCTGTTTATGCTTAAAACTAATTTTGTACAATGTCTTATTTGTTTGTTATGCTTAAAACTACGTTTGAACAAGGTCTTATTTTTGGACGGACATCCTGGAGTTTTTACAGACCCTTGTCACAGATATGAATATATGGGAGATAAGTAATATGGGAGTTGTTCATTAAATAATATACAGAGTATTGGGACTTAGAAAAACTGGCCATCAGGGAGAGCGAAGAAAGAAACACGAAATGGAGGTTGAATAAGATAACAGTTTATTTGAAGTCACTAAGTTTATGTAAGAAGATTGAACAGTTTATAATGTGTTGATATATCATTCAGTTTAAGAAGTAAAGAAGATTATCCAGACGTTAGTAATTGAAGTATTGAGATTAATATGATATATTAGCTCCGCCTTATTTTCCGGATTTCTTGAAATACAATAATAAAATAATTGGTGGACAGGCTGTAATGCTCTAACCATTGGGTTAGATCTAAATCTAGACATCTAGTTGGTAACCCGTGATGGTTTACAGTTTTCCATCAGTTTTTTTTTTTTTTCTTTTTTTTTTTTTTTTTTTTTTTTTTTTTTTTTTTTTTGTATTTATACATAATTATAATAATAACAAAAGAGAAATTTTAAAATATCATTATTATTGCTGCTGCTTCGCTCACCAGAGACGTATTTTCGTTGATACAGTGCATCATAAATCAACAATAAATAATGTCATCTCCGTGCTGCGTACCACCTTATATAATACTACAGTCCATCTTGTGCTCCATGTTTCTGACGGAGCGTATCAAAACGTATGGTATTCTTAAATGAACTTTAATGATAACAAATATAATTTTACATGAATAATTATAGATTGTATTCAAACCCTGGAAGAATATATTTTTTTTTTAAAAATATGAATAAGAAGATTATAAGTTAATAACATATTAAAACTCTTGGCTTTCTCAACCAATTTAATTTTTTTTTTAAAATAACACTGACAGCTTTAATCGAAGAAGCAATCATTTATTTCCTTTTTTTAAACATAAATTAAAGGAAACAAAAGATGAAGGTTCAATTAATTCAAGGAAAATAACAAAGACAAATTAACCTGAGAATAAGCATAACAAATTTCTTCCATTATGTCCCCTGTCCACATTCTTTCTATATTTTTACCTATTGTTAAAAAAAAAAAAAAATTTAATATATTTTAAAAAAAGAAACAAAAACACCTGTAATAAAGTATTTAAATAATTTTCTTATTTTCTGGGGCAAATTATGATATTAGTATATTATTATTCATATCATATTTGCCATATGCGATGTGGTCATGGGCCACGGACGTCATGGTAATTTTAATAATAAATAAATTAGTATTATCTCGGTCTTGATTTATGAGGCTTATTATAATTATAATATGGCATCCTTCCGTCTTCGCGAGAAGATGGAGTAGCTAATATTATTTAGTCCTAAACTTCGACGAGTGGCTCACTAGGCCAATCGTGGAATGACAATCTCAAAACTGCATTTCTCTCAGGAGAATATTGATTCCTCGTTAGATTTTGACTTCCGTCTTATACTTTTTGTTGCCAAGGGTCTCGTTTCGCGAATCTTCTGCCTTTGTTACTCCTTCATATAATGGTGTTGGCCAGCTGGAACGTTGTTCGGCAATCATCTCCCATTTGTTGTTTTCAATTTTGGCTTCCCTCGTGGTCCTTTTGCATACGTCCATACATCTCAAGCGTGGCCGTCCAATAAGTCTTGTCCCTTCTGCCAACTCCCCATACAGGAGCAACTTTGGGATGAGGCCTTCCTCCATTCTCCTCTCATGACCTAACCAGCGAAGACGCCTCTTGCTAAGAGCGGATAATATGCTAAACGTTTGTGCACGTTCCAAGACCTCTGTGTTAGGCACCGTGTCCTGCAATTGAATGCATAAAATGCGATGCAGACATCTTTGATGGACGCTGTTGAGTTTCCGCTCATGACTGGTATAGGTGGTCAACACTTCATTGTCATATAGGATCGTACTAAGCACACATGCCTGATAGACACTTATTTTTGTTTCATCATTTACATTGAGATTATTCCCCACTTGCTTATTCAGTTTAGCCATAGTTGCTGCTGATTTTGCGATCCTGATATTTATCTCTTCATCAACGGAGAGAGAACTAGAAATATTGGATCCAAGGTATGCGAAATGCTCAACAACCGAAAGATTTTGGCCCTCAATAGATATGATTGGAGGGGACGGTGCTTCTTTCATCATGACATGTGTTTTCTGTAGACTATAATTGACAGTCCAAACTCTTTACAAGCGTGTGATAGACGATTAACAAGCCCCTGAAGACCTCCTTCTGTGTGAGCTGTTAAGGCGGCATTGTTCACGAATCAGCATCTTTTTCACCTTGGTCTTTGCAAGAAGGCGGGCGATATTGAACAGCCCACCATCAGATCTGGTATGGATGTACACTCCATCTTTACAGTCCCTGAAGGCAAATTGAGGAGCATCGAGAATAAAATGGAGAAGAGCGTTGGTGCCAGTAAACAACCCTGTTTTACTCCGCTGTTGACTTGAAATGCTTCAGAGACAGTGCCATTGAAGGTTTCTGTGCTGTGCATGTTTTTGTGAAATGACTATGATTTGTGAGCAGTTGTGGGGGGGGGGGGGGGAAACCTATTCTTTGCAAGATACTGAAAAGGCCTCTCAAATAAGGTTTAAGTCGATATTAATTTTTTTTAAAGTATTCAATTAACATTAATTATGATATAATATAATATATGTTTAAAATAATAAATAATTTTAAAAGGAATTTCAACATTATTCTAAATTTCTTTTTCTTTTATTGCATAATTATTGTTTATTTATTTTTAATTTTTTTGGCCCAAAAGATTGTTCTCGTTATTTTGATTTACTAGTAGAGCAGTTTACGACATTAAGTTTTACGACTTTCAGATTCGAATGTATTTTCGACCTATTGCACCATTGGAAGATAGCTGTTGGTTAATTACTTAAGACAAAGTTCCAATGCTGTACTGACTTTAATTGTGCTAGATTTATAAAACTGTTTTCTAAAGCTTATAGATAACATTAGCTTGAAAAAAAATTTGAAAATCAAAAATGGCTGAAGCTGATTGGAATGATGTTACCTACATAGGACACAGACCCGGAAAGGCAAGCCAGTTGAGGTCCAAGCAGGTAGATCTAAAATCTACTCATCTGGCATCATTAATAAGTTTTAAATATTTAACCTTACAAAACTGTCAATACAAATATTGTTTACTTTTTCTTTAAAAAAGGATCATATCCTGTATGGCTTTGAAAATGGTTTCAATTTATTAATTTGGACACTGACTAATACAAAAAGTGGCTAATGCAGAGAATTTGTGCCATTGCCATTATTAATTAGGCTTAGGGCCTGAGGGTGTTCAAGTTAGGTTTAGGGATAAATTTAGTTTAGGGTTCAGATTAGGTTTAGTGACAGTGAATTATAAAAGTTCACGGGTCGTGGCAACCAAAATGGCATCTGTGTGAGTGTGATACATCATGGCACCAATTGTCTGCATTTACCCAAAAAGTAAGAATAAGAGTAATAAGACTCAATATAAGAGTACTAAACTTAAACAAAGTAAGAGCCAATACTCGGTCCTCAGATTGTTATACAAACACTGTTCTATTAACTAATCTTGATTAAATTTACGCCTACAACCGGGGTTGGGGAAGGCGTGCAGACTGAAAATGAACCCCCCATTCACCGAACTTAGACAAAATGCAACATACAAAACCCCCCCACTGCTGTAATCAAAAGAGTTTTCACCTAGCATGGTAACCATGATTAGCATGCCAGGCAGTCTCGAGAACAGCATTGTTTCTGTGTGAATATTACTGTGGTTAAAGAATATGTTAGCGGTATTGGTTTTTCCAAGAGTTGTCTCCCCCTATCAGCACAGTGAAATCACATTGCATTGATGAATCCCAACACTCGACTTAGCGTGACAACAGTTGGACCTGAATCAGTGTGCATGATAACTTTTCCATTCTTCACAAAGCATTGGTCACTTCATAAATTAAATCTGGCTATCCACAAAGTTTGTATTCAAAGACTAAAATTAAATTTTGGGGTCAATTGGTTCAACTTGCGCTTTTGTAGTCTCCTAAGTTTATTTTACTGAGTGAGCTCCTCTTTCTTTATTCCTGCATAGTTACTAAAGTTAACTTTTTTTTTCTTAATATATATAGTACTACACAGATGGAATGCTTAGTAAAAGTCTCGTTTATTTTTTTGAATTTCTATTCATATTTATGGCATTTAAAGAGGTGGAATGTAAAATTTTATAGTATTTTTTTTAAAATGTGGATAAAATGATAGTACTAATGAGATTCTCTTTAAATATATGGATTAATAAAATGAGTGATGGACCTAGGTGAAAAAATACCATTACATAATTGTTACCCGCTCAGTCACATGTGGTGCTCCAGTGCGCGACGAGCACAGAAAGATTTGAATTTTTTTTTTCCTTTTTCATCTCTCGGTTTTGCAAATAGACGCTGAATTAACCCCTCATTTTTGGCGTATTAATACTGGTCTTATTTCAAGTTGGTATGAATGCCCTAGATGTAAAAGATATCTGAATTTGTGTGCAAAGTTAGTCATTTTGGAAGGATTTGGATGGAGATGTTGTGACAAAAGTCATGGTACTATTAGGTGTATTTAATAAAGGGGGTCTTGGTTTAGTGAAAGTAATTTGATGCTAGTTGACATTCTTTTATTGACACAGTTTTGGAGTAAAAACTGTCTTTCCATCCAAAATATTGTAGGTGTTCGTGACCGAGTTAGCTTTTGTTGCCAGGTCTGCTTGGAAGCTTGAAGAATGAACCAAGCTGAAAGCTCAGGGTACCAAAATTTAATTAATTTAGCCAACTTTGGTATTACTGTCAGTAAGTGTTCATCTTATAAAGTTTAACATTTTCAAGCGCAGCATTTGGAGAATAGATGAATAAATTATGGTGTATAACTGGTACACTAAGAAACTGTGCAGTTATGGATTATTGTGAATGAAATTTTTGGAAAAGCTATATTAATAATAATTTATCAGTTCAGGAACCAAATACCATAGAGTTAGACGCTAGATCTAAATCTAGTTCTAGCAATATATATATAGAAATGTTCTGGAACTGTATATTTTCTATTCATTTTTTGAAAATCCTTATTGTGGATACTAGGTGATTTGAATTTCTGCATTTAATTACCGTATTTTCCGGCGTATGAGACGACCGGGCATATAAGACGACCCCCTACTTTTCCTGTTAAAATCTAGGGTTTGGGGTGTATACCAGCTCATATGACGATCTCCTGCATATAAGACGACCCCCGACTCTTGAAAAGATTTTAATGGGTTGAAAATTCGTCTTATACGCCAGAAAATATGGTATAGCTGGTGATGTTTGCTCTCTTTTAATTTTGGTGTTCAATTTTAGGCAGTTAATTCAGCTTTGAGAACAGGGGTTGATGTGGAGACTAACAAAAAGTGTAAGCATTTAAATATAAAATACAAATTTAAAATGTCAAAGTTAACTTTTGATTTAAGTTTAAGTTAAAAAAAATGTTTTCAAAAAAATATCCATATTTATTAAGATTAAGAGGAAAGGTTGTTTATTATTTTTTTTAAAAATATTGTTGACATTATTCTAATTCTATATTCAAAATAGTTAAATTTAAATAATTTTAATATGCAATCAAAAGTATTAAAAAAAGAAAAATATCTATTAAAAATGCAGTCGCAGGTGGGCAGAACAAGCAGATGTCAGCCAATAAGAACACAGCCAAATTAGATAGGGAGACAGAGGAACTGCACCATGAACATGTGCCTTTAGATGTTGCTAAACTTATTCAGCAGGGTCGACAAGCGAAGGGCTGGACCCAGAAAGAGCTAGCCACAGTAAGTGTGATATCTCAATTTTAACCACACTGAGCTTCTTTGACTATGACCCCTGATGAATTATTAGACATTGAAAAGAGCTGGCGTGCACACCTGACACTAAGTTTTCATTTTAATAATGCTAAATTGTTCAATGTACCATATGTTGATGCACTTTTTATTTCACAGAAAATTAATGAAAAGCAACAAGTGGTTAATGACTATGAGGGTGGAAAAGCTATTCCAAATCAGCAAGTTATGGGGAAACTAGAAAGAGTATTAGGTAATTACTTAAAATTTGTTTTTAGATAAATTTTTCTTTATCAATAATTCAAAAACAGATCAGTCATTTTGATATTTACGATGATAAATAGACGATGATTTTTTTCATGGTTATTCTTTTTTTTTTTAAAGTATCTTTTACTTTTCGTAGAATAATTCTAGGTTAATTATTTAATAAAACTTATATATTTCTGATTTTATGCTTTTTTTTTTCTTTTCCTCTAATTTGTGCTATTTTGAAAGTATATTTTCAAAAGATGTTCTATATTTTTCAGCGATTAAACTTCGTGGCAGAGACAAAGGTCAGCCGTTAGCTAAAAAATGAACATGCAGTCAGAACTTTCGATACCACCCCCCTCCTCAAAAACTGTATGATATTTGCATCCTCATCCATAATGGAATATCAGTACCAGTCAATGTCGGGTTCACTTAACCCACATGCATACTTCAAGGGCGTGGCTATCTTTTTGTTTTTAAAATGCAAAAAAAGGGTTAACTTTAACTTATTTCAGTAATGTTTAAATTTTTACTTCATTTTTTTATAAAGAATGGTAGGTTTCATTGTATCTGTGGTACTTCACACATCACATACAAGAATTATTATTACTGTGATGATAAAATGCAGCTGAAGTAAAGCTTTGACTTTGTGTTTTACATTTTCCCATTTGTTTATTGGAACCTTTTTTTTTACTCTGGGTATTTTATTAACACACTTTATAATGCTTTGATCTTTGATTCTTAAAGGACAACCCCCAGTATTTGACAATTTTAAGACAAAACAAAATTGAAACATAAGCTTAAATAGGATATGTCGTCCATTACGAAAAAAAATTACTCTTTAATTATAAAGTAAAGGTAAAAATTATTGGTTATTTAGCACTTGATTTTTAAGTTTCATCGCAGATGGTGATTTTTTATTTAAAGAATAATAAATAGCCACCCAAAGAATGCATTTGTTCAAATACTTGGAGCTTTTGTTATGTTAATTTCTAATTTGGTTTTGGCTAACTCTGCAAGATAGGTAGCTGTTAACTACATGTGCTTCAGTTCTGTATACTGTTTGAAGGAAAAAATTCACTTTAAGATAGATAAACAGGCGGTAAATAACTAGCTGGAGGTATTTCGTTTTATTTTAGCTTTCATGGCGCATTTAAATATTTGGTAATCGGAACAAGTCTGTTCATAATTTACTCTCCGCTGATAAAATATCCTGACTTGATTATAACTAACTAATGCTAGTAAGCATTACATTAGGACAATTATCCCATTTAAATTGGGATGAGAACTAACCAAACTGAAATATGAAGAAAGATGTGAGATTCAAAAATAAAATGTTGACTTTGTATAATATTAAAAAAAAAATAATAAGTGGGTCTTAAATATAAATAGAATTTTATTCGTTCATGTCGAGAAAATGCATCAAGTTATTACTGGTAGTAGTGTTGACTTGTTTGAATGTTAAAAACAAAACACATGGGTGCCTTTTCAGAGTATGCCACTGTTCACTGTTGAAACATTTTTCTTGAGCTTTGAGTGTCATTCTGTTCAAATGTTCAGATAAAAATTGTGTTTATAAAGTTGTCAATGTTTACATCTTGTATTCCATGTCATATGTTTTACTTATTTTCTATTAAAACCACATGGACATAACATTAAGTTGTAAATATATATATATTGATGATTAGTTTTAACTGTGATGCAAGTTAGGCATGGCTAATTTTTAAATAACTGACATGCAACAAATATATACCGCGATACCACTTTTAAGTGAATCTATGAAAGAGGGATAAACTGATTTAGTGAAAAGTCAGAAAAGCAAGAATACAACTCATCTGATGATTGTGTTAATTGAAAAGTGAAAAGGGCTTAAAAACTAAGTTTTGAAAGTATTGAATATATCCTGCGAACATTTAGAATCATTATCATAACTTGTGTATATTGTTAACATTCATCCATACCTGTGCCATCATAGTTGGCTAATAATTAGCATTGTCTTGGGTGTGCTATTGCATTAAATGTGAGGTCTATAAAATGCATGCTTTTGATCAGTGTCTCCCAGACTTTTTTCTCTGTTATGATTACAAAATAAATTACATTTTTTAATATAAAAAATTATAGTATTGTCTGCAACCATTCTTGCTGAAAATGTGAAGAAAGGTACTGGGAGTCACTGATTCTGATGAATCTTTAAAATTGGTGCTAAATCACTGATGTTTGAAATATTGTTAGCAGGAATCTCAAAGTCAAATTAGATTTATATATAGAGTGGGTTGTCCAAAGCTTTTAAAAGTTATTTCATTAATCACTTTCTTTAAAAATATTTAAACCAGTGCTTCTCAAACTCGGGTACTCAAGGTGCCATGATAAAATCTTCATGTAGCATAATTTAATCAATATGTCCTACTTAAATTTTAACTCTTAGGGGTTGTGATTTGCTATGTGCTGTCGGTATCATCAGTGTGTTCTTTGATGAATACAAGTTTGAGAAGCATTGTCATAGTCAAGTCTCTCTCTTCTCTTTCACCTCGCCAAGATCTTGATCATTCATTACAGACTCATTGACTCTGTTTTACTAACGGATTCTTTCCAATTGATACTGTGAATTAAAAGCATTTCAACTTGGACTTTCTTCTTGAGTGTCTTATCAGTTATCAGTACTTAGATAACTTATGTATGATATTTTCCACTTAAAAATTTTTTAAGGTGGCTTATTCCTACTTAATTTATTTATTTATATCAAATGTTTTTATTTAGATAATTTGATTAAACTTATTGAGAACACATTTTTTTCAAATAGTTTAGACTAGATATTCCATCTCTTCTCGTAAATAATGTAATGGTTGTCTATATTTGACCATCCACAAAAATGATAATGCCACAACATTGTAAGTTAAGACACTATACATCAAGAGGAATCATTCAAAGATAGAAATAGTTTTTAAATGCAGGAACAATGCTTAATGTTCCTTAAGGAGAGGACAGAGAATAAATGTTGTCGTTACGGTACATTAAACAAGCTCCAGGATAAAAAAAAAAGTAATTTTAAATATTGTATCATAAAAAAAACAAATAAAACTAAACAAACACATGTTATCATTGCCATAAAAAATATGTTGCATTTTTATTTGCCTTAAAACTTAAAAATTTTTTTTCAACAATCAAATATAACTTGTCATCAATCACCTGTGTATGTTATAACTAGGAATGATGCTTAAAATAAAGTCCATAAGAGAAAGAGGACAATGTTCTGACAATGTAAAATATTTTAAATTATTTTTTTACACTTTAATTCGTGATGTGTTATGTTTTATAAGATCACTTAATAATAAGAATAAAAAATTGTTTTTAAAAATAGGGCAACCAGACTAAATTGATAAGGTGCAATTTGAAAACGTGATGATTATATATGGTTAGCTTTTATGAAGTGATTTTCAAAATAGTCATAGAATATTTGGCAATAGCATCACAACGGCACTATTCTATATCTATGCTTCTAATATCAAAGATTTGCAAACTAAATATTTCTTTAAAAATCAAATTTTTAGAAGACCTATTGAAAATAAGACTATTGAATTTGAATAATTACAAATGTAAGGCTAGAATAATCTTTTTCACATCATCTTGCATAATTAAGGATAACTATTGATTCTGGCAACAAGTATCAAATCATATTGTAATTGTAGTGTTATAAATTTGTATTATAACTTTTTTGAAATACTTATATGATAATTTTACATTTTTTAACATTTAAGTTTCAAACAACAAGCTTAAAACAAATAATATTATCACAGAAGTGTTTTTTTTAAATGATTTCTTTCTTGATTTTAAAATATTTTGAAAATACATTAAAAATCATTTCTCTTGCAAGTCAGTTACAAATTTGAAATAGAATATATCTTGATTCAAGTTCAAGAAATTGCAAAACAAAGGGAAAATATAACAACACATTTTATTTGTAAAAACAAAAAATATTGCAGCTGTATACAGTGATAAAGACATTTAAAAAGACAATTATCAACAGGCACAGATGAAATTTCAATAACTACCGAGTGTATAGAATTATAAATAATATGAGCTATATACAATGAAACATCACTATTCTTGGTATAACAAAATTTCTGATATAATATGGCTATAGAATGGCTCCTTAAAATTCATATTTTCATTTGCACATGAATATGTTTTATTTTTAAATTACCTGGAAAAAATAATTTTTATACAACATAATTACAAAACTAGTCTAAACTGACCTCTTTAACCACAAGAGAATTTTAAATAACCCAGCATTAAAACTACTTGCAAAAATGATTTTTTTCGTTTTACAGTACCGGTACAGGAAAGTTTCACTGAATCAGTAGTACGGTACTGAGAAAACCTCATCCAGTTTTTTTTTTCAGAAAAAAGGTGCAATGGTATATATATTAATTATGAAAATTACACACAAAGCTTATGGGAAAATGTAAGACCTGGAAATATTTATATAAATCCATGAGCTTGAAAAACAGCCATAATTATTAGTTTTAAATTATCCATTATAATTATAATATTTAAAATAAATATAACATATATAAGAAAATCAATTTTTGCACTTGGTGAAATTTAACGATTGAAGCTGCTTCTAAAAATTTAGCCCACCTGAAAAAAAAAAAGTACCAGTGGATAACTTTTGATAACTTTTTAATGATCTTTTTACTATTTGTAAAAAAAGATCTCAAGATTTATAATAATTAACAACACTTTTTACATGTAAATAGCCTCATGTACATTGTGTCAACAACACTGCTTGTGTATCAATCAAGGCTTAAAATAATATGAAATCTTTAGATAAGCTACATGTAATAAACTTATTTATCATTCAAAAATTAACTGCTACAAACCTGTGACCTCGATGGCTTGACCTGTTATGTAGCTGCTACGTGGAGAGGCAAGGAAGGCACATACCTCTGCCACCTCTGAGGGAACCCATAGTTATTATTTATTATTTTTAGTTCTATTGATAGATTAGATTATTATTTATCATTTTTAGTTCTATTCTATTGATTAGAATAACATCATGGAACAGACTAACACTAAAATCCATTATAATTGATAAATGAAGTGAATATTTAGAAGGAATAGATGTCTTTTTTATCTACTATTAACTATAATTATCTACTACCGGTATAACTATAATAACACTTTGCCAAATTAAAATAGCAAGCCAATTCGTTATGTCTGTTTTAAAAAAAAATATAATTATCACAGTAGTCTGAAGTAAATCAAAAATTAAAATATAGTTTGATGAAATCAAATTGAAATAAACTATTTTTTTTTATGGGTGAGGTAAACTATTAAGATAAAAATTACATTAAAATTTAAAACAAACCTTCTGGTTGACCAAATCTCTGTAAAGGAATCATTGCTTTGATCATCTGCATCACATGATCAGGAACTGTCTCAGTCATTGGGGTGATGATGAATCCAGGCAGGACAGCATTCACTCGTATGTTGTACCTGTTGTGTAGGTGAGAAATATCGTGAATAGATTTTAACTGGATGTCTAAAATAGAATATGTACACTTTGCTGTGTTGAGTAAAGCAAACGTAGTTAAACGTCTTAAGAACTTTTAGAAGTTCTGTTGGGCGCTTGGAAAGTTATATTTTGTAGAATCTATGGTCATTGGCTTTAGAATCTATCGTGATGGTATTGAAAACTAGAGAAAAAAAAGGAAGACATAAATGTTTTGTCTTGAATTTGAATAAAATTCTTTAAATTGATCTAATTACAAAAATATTCAAAACGTGACAAACAGCAAATGAGTATATAAATGGAAACAAATTTATACTCTTAATCTTTACCTAGAAAGTTCCTTTGCAGCAGTTTTTGTGAGTCCTATCACTCCTGCTTTAGATGCTGCATAATTTGCTTGGCCAACATTGCCATTCTGTAAATGGAGGAAAACAAGTACGGTAAGTTATTTGATATCTTACTTTTCACTTTTCTTTATTAGAATTGTATATATCTACTAGTCTGAAAAGCTCACATAGAGCTTCAACTTCAAGTATAATTTTACTAGTTACTAGTACTAGCTAATCACTAGGCTCAATTATAGTTGATGTCTGTGATGGCTTGTCTATCCATTATCTCTAGAGAATAGAATACCTGTACCGGTATATAAAGAGTGAATGCAATAGTTAGGCTGTGAAAATGCTCCTAATGATAAAAATAAAAGAAGCAAGTAAAACTAAATAAGATGACATTTTTCTAGAACATATTTAGTAAAAACTTAATCCTTTGTTCTTACACCTTTTGAACACATCTGAAAACCCATGACATATTTAGTATTAAACAAGCCCTTTTTGTCAGAATTTAAATGCATAACTTTCACAAAAAGTCTCATCTGAATTTGTCTAAAAATCATTATAAAAGGGAATTGAAAATTTAAAAAACTCAGTAGCGCAATCGGTAAGTGCTGTAATATTTAAACAAGGCCATTTTGCTCAACAGTTCAAAATATTCTTTAGCCTACCTTTCCAACAATACTTGAAATATTCACAATCGACCCGTTTTCAATCCTAGCTTTCTGCATGGCTCTACCTACAGCTTGATTTATTAGGAATGTTCCCTATAATTATAATAAGAAACATTATTTTAAAATGAGATATTAGTTAAAGAGGTACTTATTTGAATGAATGAATAATTAGTAGATATAGATATTGATGTAACATTTTTTTTATTGATGGTCTAAAGAGGAAATAACTCATGAATGTCTTATAATTACCAGCTCAGTAGCTTGGACTTACTTTCAGGTTAACATTAATGACATCATCAAAGCTTTGTTCATCCAGCTTCAGAAGAAAGTTATCTTTGGTGATGCCAGCTGCATGGATGGCTATTGAAGGAGCAGTCTTAAATTTTTCTTCTACTTGTTGTAAAAGTTTTGTCACCTCTGACGATGAAGACACATTAGTTTCAAATGATTCATGTTGAGATGCTGCATGGTTGGCCCAGAAGATTTACAAACAATAAACAATTAGGAGATGCTGATGTTTTGTTTAAGTGTTTTAGTTACATAACAACAGGTCATATTATTAAGTGTTTTTTCAAGAGATGCACAGGTAACAGAAACAGGTAAATTCATATCAGAGGGGGAAATTTAAAAACTAAGGAACATATATGCTCGATTAATATCTTGAATGGGCAACAATGTAGCTTAATTTGTTCCCTATTGTCTCTCATTAGTTATTTGAAGTTATTACCCTAGTTTTCAAAATATGAATAGATTTTAATAAGGACCCCTGAAAAAAAACAAAATTATAATTCATATTCAAATTAGCTAGGAGGATTGATATATGTAAATATATATTAAGGGTGGCCCTAACAATAAAGAAAAACTTAATTTTAAAAAGCTTACATTAGTCTTTGACAACCACATGAATTTTAGTATGCAAATGACACTATTTCCAACTACCCCTCTCTTATAATTTATAATAACCATTACTACAAGTTTGTAACTATGTAATTTCAGGCAAAGAGAACTTACATTGTGAAAGAGATAATACCGTTTCTTGTGCACTGGACTTTTTTATGTCAACAACAGCCACCTTTGCACCTTCTCTTGCAAGAATAGTGCAAACAGCTCTACCGATTCCACTTCCACCACCTGTTTAAATTATCCAAATTATTTAAACTCCATTAAAATAGTCATATCATCCTTGTCACAGAAGGGTTGTTACAGAGGAGGGCTCCGGTCCTGACTTATCACAAACTGTATTGATGTAGTAGCGGTCAGTACAGGACCGCTCCTCTCTGTGATTTATATTGTGGGTGTCTAGGCATTGGGACAGACAAAAGCAAAACGTAGACTTGAATGAAAACTAAACAACTCCAACGCCAGGTGTCCAGATGATGAAAACAATATGTTTATTACTAAGATAATACAAAAATTCTGTTGCAACTATCTATATGTATTTCAACTGTTCAACTATATCGTCTCATCTATTCTTATTCTACATTCCACAAGTCAACTCATCTCCTAATCTCTTGCAACTATTTCCTATCAACTGCTCTCAGCTCTTTTCTCTCTCTTTAAACTATCTCTCAGCTCATTTCTCTCCCTACTCAATGTCTTATATTAACTTATATACTGTAACAGTTGCGTAATAATGTTTTTATAATTATTGCTGTAGTATTATGTTGTAGTTGTAGTATTTGGTTATCCATATTCACATACATCCATGATTATTTATAAGCAAGAGGCTAGAACTTCATGAGTTTCGCATCACATAAATTTATTTGATAGAAATTACACTTCGTACTGTATAAAACACATCTCCTAAATTGGAGGAAACATAATGGATATTGTCTTATCACTTGACCTATAAATTTAACACAGATCTATAGAATAAGTAACACGATGCTATGAGATGTATGGCGAGCGCCTATCGTCTATCCAAACTCAATCTCAAGTCCATGACACTTCCCCTGTTAACTTCTGCGTATGACCTATATTCTCTAATTAACTTCCTGTTCATCCTAACTTACAAAAAAACAATACATTATTTGAAACAAATTATTATCTCAATATTTGATCTATGACATATACCATTTTCCACCTTCATAGGTGGCCCAGGAATGCTATCTATTAACACATCCCTGCCCCCAAATTTCCGGTCCATTAGAATTTCCCATTGTTAAGCCCAAAATTATCATGGGATGTTTGGAAGGCCCGAAACATAATATTATAGAAAAAAACAATCCCCTCTATCTCAAGATTTGAGAATTTATTAGCCTTAACCTCACCCCCTTAACAATGCCCTCCCTAAAATAACAGGAATTTCAGTCCATCTTTTAAGTTACCTTAACAGCAATGGAGCTCTGTCCTGTACCCATGCCCCAGTCATTTGTGACAATCCTTATCTTTTGCACCAATTATAAAATAGATATTAGAATTCTTTTAATTCATTTTAGAACTGTGAAGGCCGTCCCCCACTTGGTTGGATTTTGAAAGTTTTTTTGGTATATGATGGCTGATTTTTACGCTAGAGAAATACTTTAGATGTCTTGTGTTTAGATTATTTTAATTAAAAATTTTGTCTTGGTATTTATTTATGTGCTGAAAATGAATACCGGTATGTACAATTTAATTTAAAAAAACACTTCCTTTTTGCACAGGTAGAATTTTTTACAATACCAGTACCTTTTAATTATGTGCTGAAAATGAATACCGGTATGTACAATTTAATTTAAAAAAACACTTCCTTTTTGCACAGGTAGAATTTTTTACAATACCAGTACCTTTTAATTCTAAATTTTTCTTACTCATTATGCTAAACATACTTTTTTATCAGTAAAATGTTTTTCAAATGTCATTTTTATGCTCATATTCATGCATCTCTATAAAAACCTACTACCAACTAACCAAATTTTTTACTTAGTGTACAAACATGTCAGCAAGGTTTTAGGTTATGCATCTTCAGTCTGGGACCCATTTACCCAAAAGACCATTGACAGGTTGGAGGCAGTCAAGCGACGGGCAGCACGCTTTGCCCTGAACCGCTACCAGAATACCTCTAGTGTTGGCAGCATGCTGGAAACACTAGGCTGGTCACCATTTGAGGAACGACGACTGCTATCCAGGCTCTCCATAATGTACAAGATAAATAATGGGCTGGTCCACTGTTCCAGTATTAACAGAAACTTGTCCCTCTACTCCATAGACAGCAACGAGGCCATAACAGGCAATTCCGGCTCATACCAGCAAGAAGCCAGTACCGGTATAGGAACTGCTCATTCCTGCCCCAGACAATCAGGGACTGAAACAAGCTTTCAAAAGGAACAGTTGAGGCGACAACACTAGACACATTTGCGTCTATTGCCTCAATCCTTCCAACCCCACTGCATGATTCCCTCACAAAGCAGCACTTGCAATCAGTGAAATATCCTCATCAACACCAGGCACAAAAACATTGCAAATATGCGGTACCCTCTACATGCATAGGAGCCAAAATGATCAATAAATTGATCGTGGGCCCTTAATATATAGAAGAAGAAGAATTCTAGAGGGAAAAGGGATTGGGGGGGGGGGTTTGGAGGGGATCCTGCTGCATAGCTACTAGGCTCAATTTTGCACTTGGCCTTCTTACACTTTGTATACAGTATATAAATATAATATTATTGTTAGTAAATAAGGTGATAGGCCTATTCAAATTGTGATGCAGTCATTAGGTAAAAAATCATCTCAATTTAAAAATTATTAAAATAACTAAACTACTAATGTGTATCAAGTTAAAAAAAGTAAGTAAAGTAAGTTAACTTAAACTTAATAAAAGTATTTTAGTTTTAGCATTAATTTAAGTCTTGACAGTTTATGTTTATGATTATGTGATTGATGTTGGATTAATTTTTGTTTCTTTTTCATTTTCAAGCTATGTGGTCAGTGCAAAGAAATTTTATGTTGTTTAGGCTTAAACTTGGTTAACAGAAGAGCAGCGCTTCTCATTCTTAATTTTAATATTAACTTTTAGTTTAGTTATAAAGTTATACTTATATATATAAGAACCGATACTGATACCGGTACATGGTTCAAAGTTCATGTTTGAATTGTTTTTAATGATTTTAATGTATTTAGTTTTAATTGATGGGCGTTAGATTTAGAGTAAAATTTAACATTCATTCATAGTTGCTTTTGAATAAAACATTGCAGACGATTTTATTTTACGTCAACATGAAAATGAAATCAAATGTGAGCATACCGGTAACTAAAGCAAGACGTCCAGCCAGTTGTAAAGTAGAGGCCATGGTTGTGCTCCCCCTTTGCACTTAAACCTTAGCCTTAACCTTTAACCCGCTATAAACTTAATTTGTCGTTAACTTAAGTTCACCCGGTGTCTAAGAAATTAGAGGGACGGGGAGTTTATTTTAGAATCAAATGGATGAAGCTGACTAAAAATTAATCGAAAATTGAACTAATATGGATTCTCCCTGAGCCCTGAGTGATGAACTAATAGAATTGTTTAGGCTTAATAATAATAACTTATTAAAATTTAAAATATGTTTCAAATAGTACTAATACTAATATTAATATTCATATTTCTACTATTATTAATGTATTATTAGATTGGACCCTGCCCCCTGTAATCTGTAGAACAATTATAGGACTAAATAATAAATAAATGTCATGTCACTGAAAGTACTGAAACATAAATTATTGTAAATTTATTTATTTGTCATTGACTCAATGATTTCTGAATAAATAAATTGACAATAATTTATATGCTTATTAATATTATCTTAAAATGAAACATAATCTTTTTTAATTAAAATTTTTAGACTTTTAGAGTCTAAATAATCAGAGTTGTATGGGGAGAAACGGGCTGAGGCTGAGCCCATGAGTCGAGTATGTAATTAATTGAACATCTAAAATTGCTTCCACGGCACCGTCGGTTGTCAAATTGGCATAGGATTTTTTAGTGGATATGAATAATATGATTCAGATTACGTTAAAAGTGTGAAGCAATTTGTTAGCAGCCGAGACCGAGTTGCGTAAATTTTATAATTTCACGTTTCATCCAAAGTAATTGACAAATATGTATAATTTTGTGATATCATGCTCCTCTGAAAATATATATTCAAAACTGTCAAAAGCATTGAAAGCATAAATTGGTCTACACAATCTCAAGAACTGGCATACCTTCGTGAGTATGATTTAAAAATCTGATTTGGAAATCGATTCTTGTATTTCTTGTCTTAAAAATACGTGTTCTTTATCCCATTTAATTCTTTTACTATATAATTAGTAGAATCATTTTCAATTTATAATATTTTTTAAAATTAAAAAGTACAAATATGAGGTTTCATTTAAATGTAGATGAAATAATAAGTTTTAAGTTAAAACCGTTTTAAATTTTAAAATAAATATGAAATCGAATATACGGTACTAAGAAGATAACTCACACTCACACTCTACTCTAAGCTCTTGTAGGAACTTTCGTTTTCATTCGGCCTGCGTCTGTTTAAAACAATTAACAATTAGGCCTATCTGTGCGAACGTTAAAATTCAAACCGCCAGATAATCTTGATTATTTTTTTAATAGAAAGGTAAGATAGCCAGTAAAGTTGCAGGTCAGAAAACAATTATTTGAATTGCACTTAATACTTAATTCACTTGTAGTTTATATTTATATCATTTATTGTTCAGATAATTAAACTTAATTTAGTCACATTTTCATTTAAAATTTAATCAGAATATTGAATTTTGGATTTTCATTCTCATTATTAATCTCATCCTTCTGATTTGAAACTCTAAGGTGCTTAGTCTAAACTAAACTTCCTAGCTAAATCTCTACTAGACTTAGTAGTGCTACTTAGTTAACTTAGGCTACCGACTTAACTTACTACTTAAACTTAAGTAAGTTACTTAACTATTAAGTTAATAATTAGTAAGTGGTAGTAGCAATTTTTTGCTAGAATTCAGAATGCTGCTTTGTTATTGTTGGAATGCCAAATGCCAGCAGGTTGTTAGTGTGTTTTTGTGTGTAGGTTTCCCCATCCATATGCATTGTTCATCAGTTTGTGGTGTATCGAATTCGAAAGCTGTAGTGCGTAGTGAAAGCAACTTGTGTTATTGTCACTGCTACTTTTATGCTTTTGTGCCTGTTTGGTGCTATTTTTAAAAAAATAATAATATCTAAATCATCATTACATGGATAAAAAAACGTGTAGTGAGAAAAATAAGTATAAGTATAAGGTTAAAGAATAAAGTTAAGGCAACTTGCAGTCCATAAAGAAAGTATGTCATTATATTACTATATTGACTATATTACTATATTGACTATATTATAATTTTTTACCTTCCCCCAGTTACACTTCTCGAACTCTCCACTCAAAGTATGTCACAGTTCAAAAATAAAAAAATTGATAGAATCATTATTAACATCATTAACAACCAAATAAAATTAAATCTAAACCACAATTCACTATTAAAATTGGACATCTCCTTTAAGAATACATCCAGCACAACAGAAAGTTAAACATCACTGTCAATTTAGCTTTTATGAATGTGATAAAAAAAATATGTTTGACCTCACATGATCATGATGATCTAACACCGCCCCCCAACCCCCTCTCCAGAGAGTGACATACTTTATGGATCACCCTAAAAGGAAAGCTGTTAAAACTACAATCTTATCACTCAGCATGAAAGCAGTACAGATGTGGCTGATCTTGCAACTGTGTTCGGGATGCCCAATTAGACTGTAGTACTTAGCGAGTTTGAAAAATAAAGAAGTTATCAAAGCAGCTGATGTGGTGAAAGAGGCCGTCCATAAAGTATGTCACTCTCCTGAGAGCGTCGAAGAAAGTGTGACAGTTTGTGATGGAGGTAAAGATCTCATGTGACATCACACATTTTATTTTGTTAACATTTTAACACAAGTGGAACCTGTAATTGACAGTGAGGTTAAACATTCTATTATGATAAATGTATTGTGACTGAATATTTCACTTTTATACATTTAAGAGTTGCATTGTAAGTGTTTTTAAAATAAATTTTAATTAGTTGTTAATCTTTAACAACTTTTTAGTGTGAAAGTGTTACATATTTTTTTTGGGGTGGGGGGGGGGTTATGACAGATTGTGGGGGGGGGGGGTCACATTATTCCCAAAATAATGTGAATGTGGCATACTTAATGGACAGCCCCAAAGGGGTCATGACAATAACTTTAAGAAGTTTGAAAAGCATGAAAGAGATGGGAAAACTTCTCTTAGTTTGGATTAATGAAAAACAGCTAATTGGTGATGTCATTTCTAAGACAATAATTTATGAGAAAGCCTAGGTCCCCCATGATCATCCTTTAATGAAAGGCATCCCTGACTAGTGCTAAATTTAAGATCTTAAACGTTAAGGCCAGTAGGGAGGGATTGTTTGAGAACTTTAAGAAAAGGACTGGGATTCATGCCAGGGAGTTTGTGGGAACTAGACACAGATTAATCCAGTTTTTGGTGGGTTTTTTTAGAAGAATTGTCTTGGAACTTAAATGAATTTAATTTATTTGAACATTAATATGGAATGTATTAAGTTTGGATTCCAAGGTCCCACTGACATATTAATTTTGTTTGGGAGACTAGGCCTATTTTTATGATGCTATTTTTTTTTATTAGGGCAAAGCCTATTTTAGTGTCTTTAACTTTACTTTTATTGAAAGTTGTGTTTTTTTTCTTTCTTTAATAAAAAATTGACTTTACCATTTCAAATCAATCTGACTTGCGCATGCTGTACAACTAATTTTTAGTTTAGTAATGCCTATATATTTGTCTAGTCAGTGCTTTTTTTTCATGTATATACCAGAAACTTTTTTCATACTGTAATTTAAATAAAAATTGAATTAGTAAACTTTAATTGATAAAACATCATGACATTTAGTGATTGTTGACCTTAGAGTAAAACTGTGACAAATGAGTTGGGCGGGGGAGAGAACAGAGCTTAATTGCTGTTCAGGTAACTTATAGGGTGGATGGAAATTGCTGGGATTTTGGGAAGGGAATTGTTAGGAGGTTATGGTTAATATATTCTTGCATCTTGAATTAGAGGGCATTGTTTCTTTCCATCATATTATTCCATACTGTTACGTTTTGGCCTTCCAGACTTTGCATGACTTTTAGGGTTAATGATATAAGTTCCTAACTGACCGGAAACGAGCTGGCTGGGATGTGTTACTAGATATGTTTCCTGGACCACTCTATAAATAGAGCTCTTCATGACACAGGCAGAAGAGTTTGGATGGTCATAATGATAATAGTCGTTGTCAAAGAGAGACCTAGGGATAGTTAGTTGGCCAAGTATTAGAGTAGGAATGAGCCATTACTGGATTTGTTGCACCATATTCACTAATACAAATTTTCTTTATAACTGCTGCTGAGGAGTTATTTGATGATTTATTAGTGTCCTATGTGTTCTTCGTTGTTATCATTAACCCCTGGACTAGTGAACCATCACAGAGAGGAGCTGTCCTGTATTAGTAACAATAAAACCAATAGCACTTGGTATGTGACCATAAGTACGGGCCATACCCTCATAACACCATCTGATCTGTGACAAAAACTCACACAGTAATTGGAAATCATGATGGCAGATTAATACAAATAATGAATTATAAAAGATTGGACTATTTCATCTGCCATATTGGTGAGCATGTAAAATTAGGGATGATCTTATAATGTTCAAAGAAGGAGGTTTTATGAACCTATTGTCTGCTAACAATTATATAATTTAAGTAATTTTTTATTATTTACATTTCAATAATCTCAAAAGCCCTTTCAATTACAATTTCTTGAGCTTTTACTTTATATAACTAATATAATTTATATGACTGGACAATGTTAATTCTCCTAATTCAGTTTGTGAAACTGTTTTATTTTAAAAGTAAGAGGCTATTGCCTAGAGGCCTAATTGTTTTATTATTATTACTGTATTTAAATATTCTTTTAAATTACAAAGTGTAGGCCTATTGAAAGCATCCAAATTGTTCGATTAACTATATGTTATTTTAGTCAAACATTGGCTGATATTTTTTCTTTTGCCCCTACTGCCCTAATACTAATGCTTTAAAAAGAAACTATTACTACAACTATGACTTTCAGAAAGTGTAGATATGTTTTTAATTCTGCAAAAATGGCTGGAGATAAAAAATTTTGAAATATGCTTAGCTTTGTTAATTATTGTAGAAAAAAAGGGAAATAGGAAATGTGGTAAATCAAGTGATGTGGGTAGTGATTTGAGTATTTGTTTAGCATCCTTTTTTACCAAGGGAACATTATTAACAGGATTTGGTTTTAATATGATCTAAATCCATGCCTGTCACTGTTCTGCATTGTGAGAGTGTAAGTAAATGATATTATTTTTGTTAAAATTTACGAAACCAATGTTATCTTTTGCCAGGTCTGCCCTATTCGAATCTATTAGGAAAAATATATCACTACCCCACGACCATAATTTCAGTCAGCAATTTGTGTGATTTACTCTTATTATTGATTTAAAAAAATGTGGTCTTTACTCATGGCAAAACATTTTTTACTCATTTTTTTTTAACTTATTTTATTTTTTATCTCAGTATTGATTTTAACATTTCTTTATTAGACTATGTCTGGTTCACAACTTATGTCCAGTAGGTTTCACTATAAAATTGTATTTCTCCTTTTAGGCACTTAATAAATGTTTATTTTAAATTGTTTTTTCTTTTCTTAGTTTAACAAAATTGCTCATTGAAATATTAGTGATTGCAGCAGGGTAATACTTTTAAGGCTCCCTTTAAATGCAAAGTAAAGTTTAAATGAGTGGATTAAATACATCAAATCTACCTGCAGAAGCTTTATGAGTGAGGAAGACTTGTATGCTATTGTTTAATGAGTTGTTAAAAATCTCCAAATTCTATTCCTAGGAAAGAAAAATGCCTGATGGGAAAAAAAATTAATCATCTACACATTGCCCCTACACTTGTTGTGAATTATTATTTTATACTTAAATGATTCCAGTTCGGCCATGTATTGAATATATAGGTCATGCATCAAAGGCTTATGCAAATTTTAAATGAGGTCAATGTAAAATATGTGTATTTCATACTTTGATTGAATTCCAGACAATTCTGATAACAGATACATATGGCCTAGCCTTATCATAGAATCAGAATGATTATCATGGAATAAAAGGAAACTGTTATGAATATATTTAAATTTCTGTATCTCAGATGGATATTAAGATATCGATTATTTATCATAAAGTATATTCATGATATTAGTTTTTAAATTTTCTCTTGTAATTCTGCTGTAGAGTGATACCATTATTGCATTGCTTTAAATAAGAAAGGTTAACTTTAAATATCATCTACTAAAGTGTCTGAAAAATTTTTCAATAGACTTTATGATACATTTCCTATCAGAACTCATCATAACTAAGTAGAAGTGGGCCTGAGGGATTTGTTTTAATATTACGCTAAGCCTAAGTGAACTACATGCTAAGCTACTAAAAGTAGTAAAAACAAAGCTTTGTTAGAAACTTAACACATCTAATCAAACTATGTGGCAGTTGAAGAGATGCTGCAAATAGATTTTTTTGTTCTCATCATCAGCATAAGTTTACCCCAAATAGGTCAAGTTTGTTGTGTGCCAAATGAGAGTGACTAGTATTCACTAAATGTGTCATACTAATATAATTTTTTTTAAATCTCTCAACTCACATTGTCACATTCAGGAATTGTCATGTGTGTTTTTGGTAAGATTGTCTTGGCAGTTATACTGATCATACTAATCTGGTGGACGTGATGAGTGTTACAAGTTAGATGTTTGGCCAAGAAAGATTTATTCCTTGATTAGGAGTGTGCTGAGGATATTTTCATAAACATGACAGATAAGGTCAAAGATTAGCAACCAAGTTGTTTTGTTTTCTACTTGTTGCCATTGATAAGAAGTGATTTGTTTGTTTTTTTTAAAACCAAGTTGTGTATTTCGTTTGTGAAATTTGATTGTGGTACAAGAGTTCCATTCATGACATGGACAATATGATTACTTGCGAATTCTTCTCCTAATAGAATATTGATGTATTCATGAGGTTTATGTGTGTTTAACATAGCATAATGAGTGCACAAAGAACTATTTACAATGGCCCGTTTGTGTTACCAAATCATCAGAATAGCTTTGATGCATCTTTTATTGCTTCAAGAAATATCTTTGACTTAGTGTGTCCAGTATTTGAACCACAAGCTCAGCGCCTCCAAAACCAAAGTGTAGTCTCTGTTTTGGACCCCAGTCAATATCTCAATAGTCTAGATGAATCTTGCCACCCAGTGTTTAATCTAAATTTTTTGGATGAATCTTTGTCAGAAAAGCATTACATTTCCAATGGTTTGCCACACACATTAAACCAATTTGTGGGACTTGGTGTTGCCAACCCGGATGCTTCATTTGGTATCCAGAGAGATGGGTTCACTAGAGATTCACTGGACTTGAGAACGTTTTCTCTGAATCCACTTCCTCCACCGCAGATCAGTATTTGCACATCTGCTGAAGGTGGTTATGAGAGCTTGCATAACCTTACCAATGGTGTTAATAATTATGTTTTAGCTCCACACGCTGACTACACCCCATTAACTTGGTTCAGTGGTGCTGCTGGTGGAGCAACATTAACAGACTGCAATACCCAGAACCAGCATGTCTTACCAGCAGAGCCAGTCATAAATTCATCTTTTGAGGGAGCTGGCTCATTTGGGAATGTTTCTGTTGTTCAATCTTATAATCGCCTGCATAATGACAAAAACTTTGATAGTTTATTGCATGAAGTGAATCAACAGTTTCTCAATTCTAAACTACATTCACCATTACCTCAGCGTAGTTCCCCATCATGTCGAATCATTTCTGAATCTCAATACCAAAGTGACAGCTCTGATAATGCAGTGCCTCGGGAAAATATTAAAGTGCAGCAAGCTGTTGTTAAACCTAGAAGACAAGCAGCGTGTGGTAATTTAAGTAAGACACAACAGGCCACCACTTGTGTTTCTAACAAATCAATACCAGCTTTGTGTGAAGGTAATTTGACTGAGGGCCAGGACTTCCTCAGTACGAGACCAGACAAGTACATCAATAGTTCAAATAAAAACAACACGCCTTGTGTGTCACAACATAAGGGATCTTTAAAGAAATGGACCCATTGGGAGAAAAAGTGTCAAGATGATTGTAAGCATGCTAGATAGCTTATTGTATAGGGATCTTTAACAATCAATATATTTAATTGATTGAAGGAAATGTGTATCATATTGGTTTTTTTTAAATATGGGTCAGTGTATGTTCTAATATAATCACATTTATTATTTTTTAAATGTTTCTTTTATATTTTACAACTTATTTTGTGTTCTTGTTTATTTAAATATTTGAGTTTGTTGTAAGTCAATCCTTTTAAGTCTCTAAACACTAAAATCATCATCTTTTCCAAATCTTACAGGGGACACAAAATTTATAGGCTTTAAGAATTTATATAGTTATTGGTTTGATGCACAATGCCTATCATTCATAAACTACTGTTTGCCTTTTCTTTTAAATGTTAAAATTATTTTGATTTATACTTTAACAACTTTATATAAAAGTGGGCTAATATTAAATGAAATATATCAGTCTTCTTACATTTCAGCTAACTTAATACGTTCATAAATGGATAACTATTGTAACATTTCAGCTAACTTAAAATATTCTAATTTGGATAAATATTCTCATATTTCAGCTAACTTCAAATTAAGTTCTAGTATGGATAACTATGAGCGAAGAAAAAGGCATCATGATAGATTTGAAAGACGCTATGGCTCTCGATCAAAACACTTTCGCGAAGATGACAGGTATCAAGAGAGAGATTTTTTTGATGATTATGACATACTGTTCCCAGAAAGGGGATTTCATCACCACACACTCCATGATAGAGATCTCTTCCTTAAACGGGAAATCGATAGATACCAGGAAAGAGATTTTGAATATGACCGAATGTTGCCAAACAAATCTTATGCACGTAATTACCTAGACCATTATGACAATTTACCCCGTCTTCCACTTCCTCCTTTACCATTTGACCATCTCTCATTCCCCTACTGGGATCCATATTTTGAAGACAGAATTCCCCCAAAGTTTTTTGACAGAAGTTACAATGGTAGAAGATCGCCCCTACTTCCTCACCGTCATGACAAATGGGCATCCAGGCGTGAACGCTGGACACCTGAGAATGATTACCCGGCACCTGAGCGCATTGATGTTGGACCGGTGTACAGAGAAACTCCAAATGCTTGGAAGACTCAAAAGCATCATCGAAATTTGAGGGGAAAAGATAAAGATTTCACAGAAGACTTGGATTTGAACTCCATACCCCAAGAGGTCTGTTGACTGTCCCTAGCTTTTGATGTTCATTGTTCAACTGTAATAATTTAATAATTTTCGTTTTAATATTTTATATTTAATGTGAAATTTAGATGTTTAAAAGGCAGCTTACTGCAATATGCAAAAAAAGGATACAAAAGGTTTTCTTTTGTCTGTACAAAAGGTTTTCTTTTGTCTGTAGAAGTACACACATAACAACTGGAGTGCAAATGGTGCTAGTAATGGGCCACAGACTAACATAAATTTCAATCCTGAAATGAGAGGCAGTGACAGACCAGTAATAACTGGAAGACCACAAGGTGTATTTATGCAAGGCACATCAGTGAATAGAGGTTAGTTATCACTAAGGTTTTGAAAATGATCATTAATTTTTCTACTATCCGAAATCATGAAATGTTTTAATTTATTTTTGGTACAACACAAACAAGTATAAAAAATAATAAGTCAACTATAAAATTGAAAATGAGGCTGATTTCTTATTAAAAGTTGTAAGTCTTTTTTTGTTTGTTATGAAAGTACTTTACTCTTAAAGTACATTATATTGACTTTTCAATCACAAATGATTGATGGATTATAACTTGATTTTTTCTCACCTTTTTACAAACCAAAGTTATTTTTAACTTGCAAATATAATGTTGTAAATAAATTTCTTTAAAAATATCAATTTTCAGCATAAATTTGGCTTTTTATTAAAAAAAAATTTAGTCAGTGCATCGTGTTTCTGTTTTTTTCATGACGCGATTTTTGTCCCCCATATTGCGCGATTTTTGTCCCCCATAGTGCCGATCCTGTGAAACTTCACTGAAGGCTGGTAGCACAAAATGACACAAAAAGGGCTTAACATTTATCTTGCAACATTTTTATTGTTTATATTTCAAGTCAAAAAGTGATACCAGTCCGATTAAAACAAGACTTGACTGATGATGATTTTGTGTGTTTTCGCCTGATCCAAAGTTAGCTGTCAACAGTAAGATTTTTTTTCTTTATGACAGGTCAAAATGCACTCAAATTTTGTGGAATTAGTGGGAAATACTATATTAATATTGATATACTTAACAGTGGACTTCATAAATATTGAAAATATTTAAGATTACTTATTTTAATGTCTAGTTCCAGTTCATCAAGTGTATATTTTCTTCTCTTTTTTTTTTTGCATAGGCATTGTTGTTTGAAATTTCATTTGTTTACATTGAATACGCAAAGATGAGGCAATGACATTTTTGGTCTAAGATTTATTCAGGATTAAAAACAGATATTAATTTTGACTTTAAAAAAAATTAAAAAATTGAATAATTCATTTAGTTTTGTTCATTTTTTTTCAATTATAAGATCTAAGCTTATATGTAATGCTTATATTCTATTATCATTTCACAGTATCAGAGTGGTGACTAAGACATTGGGCAAACCAATCATCATGGCAATGCTATTCCTGTCAAAAGACCTAAGCTACCTACTGAAACCTGTCTGAAACAAGACAAGATATGGAGTACATAAAAGGCTGGAGATGCTTTGTAAATGTACACAATTGCAGCTGCAATGTTATGGAAACTAAGCCAACTTGATTTTAAAACTGGACATTCCAGCTGATAAACAAAAATAAATAACATTCATTGGACTTCTAACCTACAAGCCCCACTTGTGTGAACTGTTACTGGATTAAGAGTTTATTCACTAAATTATGGAATTCATAAATTGTTTTTAGGCCAATATACAGATCTATACAGTAAATTTCTAAAAGAAAAAACAGGGGAAACTGGGAATTAGCAGGTACAGTTCATTTCATCTATACTTGATGAAAAGGACACGCATGCAAGTATGATCCCTGGAACAACCATAATTAGTAATCAAGAGAATCAGAAAGGGATAGGACATACTCATGTCATAAATGTAACTCAGTATGGGTATGAACAACATACCGGCTCAGTATGGGTATGAACAACATACCGGTAACTGTATATGAACTATTGGTCCTGGCAAATTCAATATCTAAACAATATAAATGGTTCTGTTATTGTAGTAAGTTAAGCTAAATCCAACTACTGTGGTTAGTCGATTGGACTGTGATAAAATTAGTTGATAAAAGATATCAGCTCTGGAATGAATACAAATAATGTGGACAACACTATGATTAGTAAAAGAGAACAACATTGGCCAAGACTGCCAGAGACTTATTGTTTCATTTTAATTAATTTTCTAGTGTTGTGCTTATAGTCATATTTATTTTAATCTAAAGAAAAATAATGCATGTCTTGAATAATCAAAAAGATCTGATAGCTTTAGTCTTTTTAGTTCCTCTATAGAATTAATGCGGTGACAAACTTTGTATGACAAGTTTGACAATGTTCATGTTTCTACTGCAGCCATATGAATGATTATAACACAGCAATGGCATGCTGGTAGAACAGCAAGGGTTACTTACAGTAAAGATATCATGTGAAAATCTTTTTAAGGTGCATAAAATAGTGAGAAAATTAGGACTTAATGTGCTGCCATTGTTAAATATAGGAGTTTTCTGGAAAAACCGAAGTTGGCAGCTGTCGTATTTCATACCCAATGATTGTTTATTTGTACCCAGTGTTGTATATTTTTTATAAAAGATGTTAAAATTATTTAACTCCACTTATATCATTTGCTAATAATAATAATAATAGTATTTCTCTCATGAAATATTTGCCTTGTTTTCTTTACCTTTTTTTTTAAAAAATCAATCACACTTTTTAAAAAATGTATGAATGCATTTTAAAAGTGGCATAGCTCATACAAATGTTTCTAAAAGTGCTTGCAATTTGTATGTGTTGTAAAAATGGACACCCATTGATGAATATAATTAAAAAATTTAACTTACCCCACCATACTTTTTTTTTTTGCTTCTACCTGTTTGTGGTATGTTTATATTTTTGTGAAAATTTAGCACACCTAAAAACCTAATCTTTTTTCCATAAAGAAAGACCATAATTAACTGTCATCTCAGAATTGGTATCAAATAATAGATCCCTCAATTCTGAATCCAATGATGTTTAACATGTTATTACTGCTATGTTCTTCACTGAATAACCAGCCAGATTGTAAAGGTACCTATTAAGGGAGAAAAAAATGGCAGAAAACCAAGAATATTAATTGAGAGTTAAAATAGAAAATGAGGCTGATTTCATATTAAAAGTTGTCATTTTTTAATTTTTATGAAAGTATTTAAAAGTAATAAATTTCAATTTTTTTTTAAAGATATCCAAAGGTTAAAATTTTCGATTTTTTTTTTAGAAGGGATACTAAATAATGACAGAAAGTATCACACATGGGTCAAAGAAATTCACCTGATGTAGTTTCATATGGTCTTTGGATTATTTGATGGACAATAAAATGGATAATTGAGTTAGAAATATGATTTCTGAAACCAATTAATTATGGGTTTTAAATTAATTTTTGTTGAGTTCCAAACCAATTAACCTGTCCACACTCTCTTTCTCTCTCTCTGCTCTCTCCCCCTCTTATCCCCCTCTATCTCCTCCTCCACTCTCCTCCTCACCTCTCTCCCATCTTCCTCTCCTCTTCATGTCTGTCCGCCTCTCTCTCCTCTTCCTCTCTCTCCTCCCCACTCTCTCCTCTTCCTCTCTCCTCTCTCATTCCTCTTCCTCTCCCTCCTCTTCACCTCTCTCCTCTTCCTCTCTCTCCTTCTCCTCTCACTCTCCTCCCCTATCTCCTTCTCACCTCTTTCTTTTTCTTCTTCTCTATCTCTCCCCCTTCTCTCTCTCTCTCTCACAAACACATATAAAAAAATTGTAAGCTTTTGCTCTAAAGAAAACAGCTTCATTTACCTATTTTACTTTATTGACCTGTTCATTTTGTTCTTACTCCAGCTCCACCACTACTCAGTTTGCAGACCAGGAGACCACTGCTACAAACACCAACTCCAAGGTACACAGAACAAAAATTCCAAGGCAGAGGTCAAGGGCGGGGGAAAGTTCAAGGTCAAGCAGGAAAGACAATCTGTGCACAGCCTCAAGCAGTTATCTCACCAGTGGTTGTACGTAGAGTTTTAAAGTACCATATTTTCCTGTGTATAAGACATCCCCCTAGTTTTCCTATTAAAATATAGGGTTTGGGCTGTATATCAGCTTATAAGACGACCCCTGACTTTTGAAAATATTTTTTATGGGTTAAAAAGTTGTCTTATACGCCAGAAAATACGGTAGGCTGAATTTGACAAATTTGACCTGTTAAAATTACAACGAGAACTTCCTTTATGGCTTTTTTGACTGTGGCGACACAGTTAAGTGACACTCAATCAGCATTACTGCTATAACCTGAGATTAAGTGCTCGTTTCGTGCGTATAGGGTCAGGACAGGTTAACCGCCAAGCTGAAATGTTTAGATTGTTTCTATATTCCTGATTTATGCTCAGCAAAGAGCAAAGGCTTGCCTTGCAAGCACTGCTTTTAAAGGCATTTAGGTATTTGATGCCCATTAGTTTAGTGATAGCCTAGGTATTTGATTTGATGCCCATCAGGGTAGCAATAACCTAGGTTTTTATTTCATGCCCATTACTTTATAGAGATGACCTAGGGGTTTATTCGGATTACCATTTGGTTGTGGCTTTGGTATTTATTTTTTGAGAATCTAATATTTGCTGAAAATCTGTGTGTCCACAGAAAGAAGAAAGCAAGGAGGATGTGAGGACAAAACTGTTCAAATTTCAAGAGTCTATCAAAAAGTGCCAACAAACAGAGAGTCAACCACAATCCATTTTAAATGCAGTGAGCTCTTTCATTATATAAATGCTATTGACTGTTGTCTTCAGCTTGCTGCTCTTCTTAACAAGTGCAATAATTATTTGCTCTATTTTGCAAGTTCCACTATTAATAAGTTACTAATACATAATACAACTAAATTTGTATATTTATGACATGATTTGTCAAAGAATTTATATTTAAAATATGTTGAAAGGATCCATTCTATGTTTATTTATGTAACTTACTTTGGATGACACGGTTTTATGTATTTTTATCTAACCTATGTTGGCTAAAGCAGTTCCATAATGTATGTTTATATAACATATGATAATTACATCATGTCACCAAAGTTCAGATTTAAAACTTGTGGAAAAATTTTAGAATAATAATGAATATTTAATTTATGTTGCCAGGCCTTTACAGAATCCAAAAGTGGTCTCAAGTACAGCTTCCAGGTGGAACCGATCCAGACTGAGAGAGGTAAACTTGAACTCGCCATTGACACTGCATGCCACATAATTTAATTCAGTATTGTTTATCTATGCCCGATTACATCAATATATGTTGAAAGCTAGAGAAAAATATTTTTAAACAAAATAGCTTGAATGTGTTTGAGCCCCAGAAAAGTTGCCTATTTATTGTTGTCTTGATGTTAAGCATAATTTTACCAGGAGTGTAACATGTGTATTTACTTAAAAGATGGTATTGTAAATTCAACTGTTTATTTTCAGGAGTTCACATGTACACTAAGACAAGCTTGCTCATAGAGGACCAGGTGTTTGCGTACTCAATAGCTCTCAGTAAAAAGGAATCTAAGGCCAGGGTGTGCCAGAAAGTTATTGAGATGTTCATACAGAATGATGTGGACAAAATACTTAAGGAGGTAATGTTACCCTAGGGCAGTGCTGTCCAACCTTTTTGACTGTGTGGGCCCAAATTAAGGTAATTTTACCGTAGGGCAGTGCTGTTCAACCTTCTTGAGTACGTGGGCCCAAAATTAGGTAAAGTTACCCTAGGGCAGTGCTGTCCAAGCTTTTTGAATATTATGTGGGCCCAAAATAACGTAATGTTACCCTTGGGCAGTTCTGTCCAACCTTTTTGACTGGGTCCAAAATATTTTCTGCGAGGCCGAAGGCCACACATGACATCTCACAAGAAAGGTTATTTTTTTAAAATGCTTTCCATCCCTGTGGAGCTACAGCCCATGTTGGGCGTTGGCCTGCCTCTCTACTTATTTTCTTGGGGTTTTAGGGATGCACCCTCTTCACTCTTCTGTCATTTGGCATTCTCTCTAAGTGTCCTGCCCAGCGTACCCTACCCTTTTTTATATCAGCTAATATCGTGGGATCCTCATATAGACTGTGCGATTCATGGTTGGTTCGTATTCTCCATCCATATTCATCCTTTTTTGGTCCATATACTTTCCTGAGAACTTTTCTCTCCCATGTGGATTTGTTAGGGTCCAAGTTTCACTTGCATATTACAGTTTTATAAATAGTTTTCTTTGTTTCTCTTGTAATGTTTTTACTTTTTGAGTATTTTCTAAATACTGAAGTGTGCCCTGTTTCCGGCTGCTATTCTCTCTTTTATATTTACTAGTAATTTGTTTCTTTCATTTAATAAAGATCCTAGATATTTGAATTGATTTACTTTTCCAAAAAGTCTAGTCTCTAATTTTAATGGCTTCATTTGTCTGTTCTTCTCTTATCATAGTCATGCATTTTGTTTTTTTGTTGTTAACTTCCAGCCTTGCTTGTAGTGATACGTCTTCTAATTCAATATGGATTTTGATATGTTTTAACTATTTTTCCCTAGCAGTGCCATGTCATCAGCATATGCAAGATACTGAAGGGGTTGATTGTAGAGAGAGTGCCCTTTGGTTGTGGGGCTTGGGTTTCCCTCAGAAACTATCCTGTTATTGTTCCTCGGGTGTCAATATGTAAGCTTCTTATAACTCTTTCTAATGTTAGGTTAAATAGCATACAAGCCAGTGAGTCTCCTTGTCTTAGGCCTCATCTAATCTGAAATTCCCTTGAATATTTTCCTTGAACTTGATTTTGCTTTTTGAGTTGTTCAAAGTTACATGTATCAGTCACGTCAGTTTGTTGGGTATGCCAAACTCCTGCAGAGTCTCATATAGATATTTTCTTTTGATGCTGTCATAGGTCATTTTATAGTCCACATAGAATTTATGTACTGGGATATTATATTAACATTTCTCTAATAGGCATCTGATGATGAAAATCTGATCAGTTGTTGATTTGTGTTGCCTGAATCCATATTGGTAATCACCAAGTATTACTTCAGTGTTCGGTTTCAGTCTTTTGGCAAATAGCTTTGTCAGTATTTTGTAAGAAACATTTAATAGGGAGATTCCTCTGTAGTTTGTGCACTGAAGTTTGGAGCCCTTCTTGTGCATTGGGATTGTTCATGCTGTTTCCCGTTCTGTTGGAATTTTCTCTTCTTGCCAAATTTTAGTTATAAGTTTATGCATCTGAGTGTGTAGTTCTCTTCCTCCATATTTAATAAGTTCTGCTGTGATGAGGTCTTCTCCAGGGGCTTTGTGGTTTTTCATATAATTAATTACTTCTTTAGTTTCTTCTAGAGTTGGGGAGTTTATAAAAGTGTCTGGTCCCGCATGTGGTGGTTGGTAATCTTCATCTTGTTTATTAGTCTGCATTTAGCATGTCTTTTTTTATGCTTTAGAAAAATATTGACATCATTCGTACTTCTTACCTTATGCATGAAAAAACAAATCCAGTAGCATTTTTGACTCAACAAGAATTTGAATAAGGCTTATAAAAACTTTGGTGCTTCCTTAATGATTATTTTGCTTTGAATTGTACTTGTAATTTTTTTAAATTTGGTCAGTTTTAAGTAGCACCTGCCCTCATTAGTTTTTTAAATGTTCACTAGTCAAAGCTTTTTTTACCAGATTTTTATTATATTTACTTGATCTTTAAGCACTACATGAGACATGAGATTGAAGAGGGTCTTATCAATTTAATCTGATGCTATGTTGTATCACAGTTCCACAAATATATTATGATTTTTTTTCATGTAAATTTAAAAATAATTATTTGTTCATATCCTGTGTTCCTTGTTTTTACCAATATTAATAATCTGGGAGTGATCAGTTTTCTGTCAAACCTCTCATATCCATTGTCATTTAACAAGTTGTTTCCTAGTCATGGGAAAGGCAAGTTAATGGTACAAATTATTTAGACTTTCCTATAGCTGTATGGTTCTGTGCAGCATTCAGATTCTTCCAATGTGCCCTGTGCCTTACCGGTTTTAACCTCCGTGTTATCCAAAATTAGCAGGAATAGATTATTTTCTCATGTGTCTAGCCAAACATATTTTGAGATAAAAGTATTTTAATTAATTTATTTATTTCCCTTCCTTTTAACAGCACTTTGTCAGCCAAATTGCTCCAGAAGATATACCAAAGGAAATTCAAGAGTTAATTAAAAAGCATAGAGAGAGGAATGCTCTGTCGAAACAAAACCTTGTTGTGAGTTGGAAGCGTCTTATTTTATTTTTTATTTTACCATTTTTATAATTTATTTTATTTATTCCAGTAACAGCGTTGTTTCTGTATTTCATTTATAAAATAACAATTTATCTTGACCACAGCCCACAGACCATGAATACATCGATTTACTGGACAAAATGATCGGAGATTTAAAATCCCCAGCCAAACAAGGAGTCAACGCTATCATGACAATTGACAAGAATTGTGTTCAGCTCAAAATTAAACTCCTTGCTGTATATAAAACGGTAAGATTGATCATATCATTAAGATCAATTAGAGATTGTAACAGGTGCCACTTTTCCGGATCATCCCGGAATTCAGGATTCATGAGGCTAAATATTTTTCAGCTCTGATTCGTGAGTTTTTATATTCTTTCTCTCCAGATTTGCCATTTCAGTTTATTCAAATGCGGATTCTGGGTTTTTAAAAAAAAAATTCAATGTTTAACTCTTTTGCTGCGGAATTTTTTAATCAAAAAAATTTACATTTTTTTTTTCCTAGAGAAAAATAAAGAGTGATAGGTTGGGTTTATTAAAAAGTATTTAAAATATTATTGTTTGGTTTATAAGACTAAACTTGGTATCAATTGAAAGATAATTGAAAGGACTATATGTTTGTAAACTTATTTCTTTAGTTTAAATAAAATAAGTTACAGAACAGAAAAGAACCATAAAATGTGACATATGCTAAACCATTTTTCCCCAAACCCTATGATGTATGCATACCTCATCTTCACTTCTATAACTCAAATCCATTAAAACTACTACTATCGGAATCATGCAATGGCTCTAAATATAAATCATCTTCACTATCAAAAGAAACAGTATAAAACAATTGAAATAATCGTCAAGGAAATTTACTTGCCTACTAGCAACAGTAGAAAAAAAAGGAAAGAAAATCATTAAAATAATGCTTCAAATGGCAACAAATATACCTTGGTTTCCCTTATAAAAAATGAATTACCACTCTTCTATGTTAAAGTCTTATTTAAAAATAGCTCTTAAAAAGTTAAATCAAGAAATAGCAAGGAAGAAACCATGATATGGAAACAACGCAAAGCGTGTTAGTCCGTGCTTTTTTAGAACTGCGGATGAACGAGCAAAAGCCTATTCAGTGAGAGAGGGTTCGCTATAATTAGAACAGGTACTGCGACCTCTCACTTTTGTTTGTCATCATTGCACAAGAAATTATTTCTACCATGTATGAATTTATGAGTTTGTTAAATTTCAGGGTTTGAAAAATTTGTATATGAAGTTTCAGGTTTCAAGAAATTTTTAGAAAGGGATTTCAGGGTTCACAGCTTTCAGTGAGTGGCACCCCTGGATTGTAAAGGACTTGAAATATTTATTGTAAATCATTTATCCACATGAAATGGTAGGATTTATTCGGAGATGATATTTTTATTTATATAACTAACATTTCTGTAGACTTCCATTCACATTTGTGATTATGTTTCAGCAGTCTCCTTGTTATGAGGTTGCCTATGGTATACCTTATGTTCTTTCAACCTAGTTTTGTTAACTTGCTTGTGCTCTAACTCAGCATTGTGTTACAATCTGTGTTCACAAACTGGAAGTGGTATATTTGTAGGAGTTTGGAGTGAAACCTGGCACTTTCTATTCTATACAATTTCCCATATGTCTTTCTCTATTGTGTGATCCTCTAGGTTCGGGTATCTGACGAACAGCTTTCGATCACCTGTGATATTTACATAGTAGACCGTTTCATAGCTCAGGGGAAAGGACCCAACCGGAAAACGGCTCAGCTCAATGCTTACAACAAGGGGGCTGAACTCCTCAAAAACTCTACAGGATCGGATGTGCTCCATTCTTTTCCAAACTTTAATGAGGGTGAGCTAAAAAAGCAAGAAGTCATGGATATTGTTTACAAAGGTAACTGTGTTTGCATCATTCCTTTACTTAGATAGACAAGTGAATAAAATGTATTTTAAAAATATCCATTGCCTTACTAAAAGGCCATTGTTGAAAAGTAATTTTTTAGCAGAGAATTTTTCAAAATTTCCAAGTGAGTTACTATGCCTGTTTAATGCTTGTTTTAGAAAATTTGAGAAGTTGATGCTCTGATGGCTGTATATATGATTATAATTTTGTCATTCCCCCCTCCCTAAAATTGTTCAATGTCTCACCAGGCTATAGCAGGATGCACGAGTCCAATCTTTGCCGGCTGAACAGATTAAAACAGCTGCCTGAAGAAAACAGAAAGATTTCTGACCTCATTGTTATTGAACATGAGGAATGGAGTAGTGACCGTAAGAAACATTCCCACTGCATTCTGAATCAAAGTGCCACTCAGTGCGGCTGTTTACTGGAATGGATTACAGAGCCAGAGAATGGATGTTTTAGGTATACATTTTTTTAACACCTGGATTACCGGCATACTATTTTTATTGGGGAAAAGCTTGCTGGAATGGTTTACAGAGCCAGAGAATAGCTGCCTTTGGCACAGGTATACATTTTTTTAACACCTGCATTACCGGCATACCATTTTTATTGGGGGAAAGCTTGCTGGAATGGGTTACAGAGCCAGAGAATGGCTGCCTTAGGTACCAGTAAACATATTTTAACACTAAATTGCATTACCAGCATCCCATTCTTATTTTTATTTCGGGGGGAAAGCTCTTTTAAAATGATATTCAGATTTGGTTAATTCCATTAAGTTAAAATACTGAGCCAGCAATAATAAAATATTTACAAAGATTTCAGTTAAGAAATAAGTAATTACTGCAACATATTGCCACAAAATAATCAAATCAATACTTTACTTTTGGGAAAAATTCATCAAAAATAATTTTTGTCCCTGGTAATTTTACAGCAATACATCCAAACAAAATTTGAGAAGTATAATTTTGTCCCTTATACTGTAGATGCACTATGAAATTACAAGGTGAGGAAATATCCACCTGTCTTGCTAAACAGAGAAGACCATCAGTCAATCTGGCATCTTCCATAGCACTGTTTCATCTCTATGAAACACAACCTGTGGTCCAAGTAAGTTTTAGATACAAACATTTCCCAAAATTATTTTATGGCTAGTAATTTCATTAGGACTTACCTAATTAAATTAAATAAAAGTGTTTACATTTTTTATTGTTGTTATAATGCATGTTATTACAGTAGGAAGACATAGTGAAATCTGTGCTGCTTTTTGTTATCTTTAGTAACCTAGGGGAACATACATACTCAACCTAATTCTGTGATCCACTCGGATCATGTGGGGAAAACATTGTGGGAAACATGTTAGGAGCTAGGGTTAGGGCACATACCTTCTGCAGCCATTAAATGGCCGTAGATAACAAAGGTGTTGTGGATGACGAAAAAAAAAAGCCCATTGAAGGCGGGCCTATTAGGCAGCCGTTTCGTCCCCACCTTTAGCTAGTACTTTGATGCAGTGTGTATATACCGATAAACACTGTTAAGTTCTGAGTGGTTGGTAGCTCTGAGGAATCTTTTTGGCAGTGTACCAGTGATGATTCTCCCTATCCACACCGACTCAGAATTATAGGACCATGTTTTTCACCAGGGGTGGCGGGGGAGGTCATAGTGGTCCACAGTTGAAAATCCACTCCTTACTTTGTAAGGTAAATTTTTCGCCGCTACCCCTTAGTTGTTCCTGGGGTAGTCAGATGGTTTGTTGCTAGGGCAAAACATCCTAACATCCGCTGTACACTTCCTCTGTAAAATGAGTAAGAGTCCCGCGAAATGGGGTTCCGGGGATCTCAAAGAGCATCAGGTCGTTGACGACATTCCAAATGTAAATGGTATCTTTAAGATAATTTTTACCCAAAGGATATATGGAAAAAATGAATCAAAATTGTCTATGAAATGTCTTTTAATAGATTCCTCTGAAAACATGAAATACCATTGCTTGAAAGATGTTTATAGTTTATCAGGGGCAGAAAACATTCGTTTTAGTATATTTAAGGAAAAGTAACAATACCAGACCTGTTTACTCTTATGATTTTGGCGTACGACGTACGATTTTGAGGTATATACATTATGTGTAATGTATGTTTATTTTTTACTATTGAGATAATGTATTGAACGATTTTGTGATGATATTGGACGATTTTAAGAGTTTGAGGGTAAACAGGTCTGCAATACTCATCAAAGAATCAGACAATTTCCCTATATTTTAATGTAGGTGATGTTTTAGGTAATAGTCTAAGCAAGTAACAGTATTTGGATCTTCAAAATTTTTAAAAAATTAACTGTTTTGTTGAGGTTTTGGTAAAACTTCAGCCTTCTTTTTGATATAACCTTATCGTACCTGTGGAATGATAGCCTTGTTTTCATTGCCCAGAGATCCCATGCTGAGTTTCCTTCCATGTGGTGTCCAAGATCGGAACTGGTCACGCTGGCTAACACATTGTCTGTAGATGAACATAACACTTTTGATAGTAAAGCAGAGGTAAATCGGTGTACTGTGTGTCATTCAACTTTTGCCAACTTTCTAAATGAACTAGAGGGCTTCCTGAACTTTAAAAGGTCTGACCTTACAGTTAGCTATAGATAATTTGCAATCAGGCCATACTATGTCACAATTTCAAGACATACTGGTGGATTGTTTGCCAAGTTGACACTGTGGTTGTCCAAATAAAACCTTAAAATTGCCTCCACAAAATTGTGAGATTTTTAAGATTTGAACTTCAATTTTCAACTTCTATTAGACAATTAACAAGATCCATTTAAACTGAGTTGTGACTCATCTAAACTTCAGCCTTGCTTTTCTCTTATCTCCAGTTTTTAGCTTACATTTTATTCACATACCTGGATGCTAAGACTCTTGATAGAAACTGAACTATGATTGATCATGGAAGCCGTATCATTGCTCTTTTTTTAAAAACGTACATCATTATTGTTTTATAATCTGTCATTGCAAAACAACGTTTGCTGATCCTCAGGTTGAGAAAAAAGATTGCCTGCTTATCTCTTATCTCCAGTTTTTAACTTACATTTTATTCACACATCTGGATGCCAAGACCTTGATAGAAATTAAACTATGTTTGATTACAGAAACCATATCATTGCCCTCTACTTACAGTACTATTGTTTTATAGTCTAGAACTATGTTTGATTACAGAAACCATATCATTGCCCTCTACTTACAGTACTATTGTTTTATAGTCTAGAACTATGTTTGATTACAGAAACCATATCATTGCCCTCTACTTACAGTGCTATTGTTTTATAGTCTAGAACTATGTTTGATTACAGAAACCATATCATTGCCCTCTACTTACAGTACTATTGTTTTATAGTCTAACATCTGTCATTGTTAAACAATGTTCATTAATCCTCAGGTTGAGAAAAAGATTGCCAGAGCAATAGAGAAGAAACTGGATGAATTGCTCAGCAGGCCGACTCTAGAAGAATTTGCCACTGCCCCTGACTGGCTGACATTGGAAAAGAAGTATTTGAGAAGTGCTGCCAACTCCAAGGGACTGAGGGTAGTGGCAGAGATCTACTGTGAGGAACCAATCTATGTCGTCAGCAACAAGTATGATCTCAAACAGGTAACTCACAGGCTTAACATGTCTTGGATTGAAGAACACTGGCAAAATGTAGGAACCGGTGACGTATGATAAAATATGTTGTATTTTTAGTGTAGTGCAAGTTCTTGTCATGGTCTGGAGCAGGGTTTCAAATTCACAATACAAACACTCCAGTGGCCCACTTGGACATATAATTAGAGACATTGCTCAATGATACATCCCACCCTCTTCATCACAGATACTTAGTGTTTTTCAATGTATAGCGGTGACGGAAATACAAAAATTACTTCTCTAAAAGACTCAAACTAGAGTTTATGATAACGTTACGGACTACTAACAGACAAATTTAGATTGAAATAATTAAAAGTTATTTAATTTTATAATCATTTGATTTTGTTTGCTTGTGTGTCAGCATGTGGACATTTTCCCCAGGAGCCCAGGGGCATGTGTATTTTAGGCCCAGGAGCCCAGGGGCATGGGTATTTTAGGCCCAGGAGCCAAGGGTTCAAAGGGTTAAGAATTATACATTTCTTTAACTAAAAATATTAATATTTGAAAATAATCTGTTCTCAGATTGTTCAAATTCTTGAAAATCAGCCCAACAAATCCCATGGGCGCTATAGATTGCTACCAGCTGTAGAAAAGCCATCCTACAATGATATAGCTGGAGAGGTTGCTGCCAATGACTCAATCATAAGAGAAATCCAGGGCTCTGCTGATGCTCAAAGGCAAGATGCCCCTCCAGAACCTGTCAAAGAGGAAGTTGAAAGTGACAACCAGGAAGAGAATTCTCTGGACTCTGATAATGAAGCTTTTGTCACTGCAAGCAACACATTTCTTGAAGATATGTCACACAAGGGAAATATGCAGTTTCTCAATGCAACCTCCACTCCATTTCTCTCTGACATACCTCTCCCCAAGTCCACATCAACACCTTCAAGATCATCAGTTGTGAAAGAGGAAAGTACACCTGTGAAGCTAGTGCCATACCGTCCTGAAAATCAATTTGCCACCGTTCAATATTTACCATCAAACTGTAACCCGCAGACTCCGAATAATCCAATGAGTTGTACACCTTTGCCACCGGCCACCTCATGGGATCAGGGACCAGCTATGTCCAATCCTAGTTACTTTTATAGAGCGACAGCTACAACTTCTGGAACTTTCACTGCCACAAGTGAGACCTCAGACCCAGACAAGTTCATACCAGCGTTGCCCTTACTCCCCCCTCCTCCGCCCCCGCCTCTTCCCCCACCACAAGATGAACCGAGTGCAGTCAATGTTCCTTTGGAGCCAAGTCCTGCCAACTTGTCTGACTGGAGCATCGATAGCGGCAGGCACCCTGAAGATTGCCCCACCCGCATTGCACAAAGTAATGGTAAGTTATATGTACTAAAATGACAGCATGCCTAATTCTTAAATTGCAATCAGTTTAAAAATAAAAAATTTTAAAATCTTTGGGCTCTGGTGTAAATCTTCAGTCCCTTGAAAATGTGGTTATTGAAAAAATAACGTTGACATTTATTGATTCAACTCTGAAATAAATGAATGTACCAAGTATCACTAACAATGTGTTACTTAAGAAAAAAATTTAATAAAACTTGTGGAGCAAAATTTGTCTTGATGATGATTATGGGAGAGATTTGATCAAATTCAATCAGGAAAAACTTTGGTTAGCCAAACCCGTGTTTAAATTAAAGCTAACAGTTTGAATTGAATGTTAACTAATTAATGCATGATTGTTTGTTCAAGGCCACTCTATTCAGCTAGAAATAAATGGACTTCCCATCTACTAAAGTTACTTGAAGAAGCATACTCCTCATCCTCATGTCCCTTAGTCCTTGGACCGTTGGGGCGCCACAGATGACATGTGAACCATCCTCCTCCATTCCTCTCTGTCTTCAGCATTATGCACTGCATCGCCAAGTGTTAGTCTTGTCCGCTCTTTGATGTTATCCTCCCATCTTTTTCTTTGTCTTCCTCTTCTTCTCCCTCCTCTTGTGGTGCCCTGCAATATTTCTTTGGCAAGCCCTTGTTTTCTTGTTACGTGGCCGTACCATTGAAGTTTGCGTTTTTTCACAGTCACCAGTAGGTCATCGTACTCCCCAATTGCCTGACGAACCCCTTCTTTAACTGTATCATTGGAGATATGGACCCTATAGCAGATGCCAAAAATGCTTCTGAAGCATCTCATCTCCATCGCCTTTATTTTCCTTTCAAGATCTGCTGTTAATGTCCAGGATTCGCAGGCATACAGGAAAATGGAGAGGACTAATGAGCGCATCAGCCTGATTTTGGTGCTTGGGGCTATATTTTTGTCATTCCATATTTTCTTGAGCTTCTTTAGTGCTGTTGTAGTCTGCGCAATCCTGGACATCAGTTTGGGCTTGGAGCCTTCTTCTGAGACTATTGCTCCTAGGTATTTGAAGTGGCCTACAGTCTCTAATCTTTTCTCCCCGACCTTAATTTCAGTGGTGATGCCTGCAGTATTATTTGTCATCAGTTTTATCTTTTCGGCACTTTAGCATGCCATAGGACGACGAGGTCTTTTCGAGACGCTTTACCAGGTTGGCTAGCTCTTTTTTGTTCCCAGCCAGTCCGTCTATGTCGTCCGCAAAGCGTAGGTTGGTGATTGTTCTACCACCAATGCTGACTGCACCTTCATGCGCTTCCAGGACATCTGATATAATTCTCTCTTGGAAGATGTTGAACAGGGTGGGGGAGAGCAGGCAGCATACACTTTATAAAAATGCACCAATTAGTGTCAACTTCTGGGAATTTTATTTTTGCGCACCTATGGAACACCTAATTACAGCCTTCAATAGTACTGAATTATTGTTTGTGAAATGAAAATTAATCCATCCATATTTTTATGGTGTTGATTTTTTACATACCGGTATATTTTTTACCAAATTTTCCAAACAAAATTATCATTGAAGCTATTAGCAGCTTCGTGAATAAGAAATGGCTTTGAGTTACTGTAAAATACATTTTTATGAGGCTGCATAATCATAATGTTTAAGAGAACATTGGTAAAGAAAACCTGCCCTGGTGTCAAAAACCAGATTTTATAATTTACAGAAGCTTATTGTACAATCATTGTTAAAAGTGAATAAAAATGTGTTAATTTGTGTGAGCCAGGTCATAAATATTATAAGGTAAGACTCAAGTCCCTAAGTAGTTAATTTTTTGCTCTGTAGAAATGGCAGGGCAAAGGTTAAACATTAACCACAACTTGGATGTTGAGGGCTGTAAACAAACTTGCTCTCCTTGGACTAGTCAGTACAACAATGTGCAATGGCATCACCCGCCAGTTGTAAATTGGCAACTAGGTAGGCCTAATGTAAAACCAACAAGTTTTTTTTGTTTTTTCGTTATTGACTGAGTTGAAGTATTTTGAGTTGCATCATTTTTCTCTCATCGCCGACCATAATCAACAACCCCATCACCAAATATGACTAAACATGTTAACGAACACAAATAATTTTTTTTTCAAAACGCTCAACCTGATATTTAGGGGCAGTATGCTTGAATCACATGACTTAGTTGCAAAATAACGCCTGGCACATTTTCTGAAAGCCAAAACATTTTTATTAATGTTATTGAATAGGCAATGATGATGCAAAACTAACAAAACATCCTATTGTCATTGCAAATTAAGAGATTGGAGTAACAGCCAGGGCCATGGATTAAGGTTCTTTTGTTCTATTAAAAAGTCAGCATCTAATGAGATAAACTATCAATCAAATTTTCCTGACAAGTTAAAGCAGATGTCATGAAATGATTTTTTACACACTAGCTTGGCACCCAGATCATCACACAGCAAAGAATGCATGGGTATTTAATTTCTAATTTTTATCAATTTTGATTTTGGGTGTTCTATCCATTCTGTTTATTCCAATGTTTATTAACTTGGCCTCATGTAAAAAAAAATAACAATGAAAGAATTTCCCTCTTTATCAGGATACCAGCAGAAATATGCTCAGGTCCAAAAGACAAATACAACAGCTGGTGGCTGGGAGAATCCAGTTGTCTACCCTACAACATACACAACCTACAGTGAGACACAGCACTAAGGATTTGGGAAAAAGCACCAACGCCATTACATATCTAAGCATGTCATCAGTATTTTTTTCAATTAATTGATTATTTATTAAGTTACTTATCTGGTTTGTTGTTAAAGCCTAGTCTATGTGAATGACTTTCATATCATTGCAATGTTTGCTCAAAACTGGTATGTTAAGGGATCCAAGCAGCTGTCTATTTCTAGGCAAATATAACACACTTAAAACTTGAAACTGATTCAAAATTCTGTCGGTAAATGTATGAAATATACTACTAATCTGTTTTCTTTAATTCAGAAACACAAGGTGTTTTTTAAGGGACAAGAGTTGAAAAAAAAACATTTTTGTTAATTTTTGCTGTTTCATTTAAATATCCTGTTAATATTATTTATCTTGATTCTTTTTGCTTGCTTACAATATGCAAAACGTTTTATTTTTATATATTTATTAATTGTTTTCCTAAAATCTTTCCCCCCCTTTTTATGCTTTTATTCATTAAAAAATGTAGCATTATGATTCTTCAATCAACTGTATCATGCTCTTTAAAACCCTCCATTAAAAATTAATCTGAAGAATTGATTTTGAAATTGAGATTTTTCTAATGGTACCATTTTTTTTTCTGTCTTGCTTTATTACTTCATAGTTCCTTGTACTTTAGTATGTTTCTAAACATCAAACAAAATTATGTTAATTTTATATGTCATCAGCAGTATTCCAAGAACAGCATTAGTAATACTATTACTTGACCATTTTGGCTAAATCTTGGTTTCTTTTGTTTGTTTTTCAAGGCCTATTTTGGTTTTTCCAATAGTGCCACATAATTTTTGGTTTAGTACCGGTACCTTCAGCAATGTGTAGGCAAATATGGTTTTATAAAATACTTGATGCCTGTGCATGTGTAAATTGTTTAACATTATCAAAATAAAACAAAAGTTTAATAAATTGAAAGCTATTCCATGCGACAAAGATCCATGAATTGTACCTGAAGTATTACCCAGCTGATATTGCTATGTTATGCTTTACCAGCATAAAGCATCTTCAATGACAATTTGATTGATTCGTTATTTATTGGTGAAAATAACCACACAAATTATAATTGTGTGTCTGAATATTGAATGATGGCATGTTGTGTGTAAAAATGATACAAAGCCTTTCTTGCTGAAGTGCAGCTACAGATCTCCTTGTGGGTGAATGTTTATCACCATGGATCTATTCATACCAGTAAACAAGTGAAGGTTTTGCTTATAAGGCCTTTGTTTAAAATCCAGACATTTAAAGTCATAAAAAGAAGTTTCTAGTGTTACTTAACTTTGGGCCATTTTTTGCTATTTTAAGTAAAAAATGTCCATTTTATCAGTTGGTTAAACATATTTCATCGATGCAGGTCTACATATGCTGTGTTAAGATGTATTTTGTTGTCATGATATTTTTTAAAAATTTTGCCAGGATAAGAGACTAACTTACTTTCTGACAATCTAGCTTGATGAATTTAGTCTGGCACATTCTAGCTTTTCAGGGTTTGATAGCATCATAGAATAAAGTAAATAAAAGATATTCTTTTGAAACCAGCCTCTTCTGAGTCCATTCCTACAATTTGGTACATTTTAATTCATCAGTTTTAAATCCATAAATTCCATTTGCCTGGTGCAGTGGCTACTTACTTTTGTTAAAAAATTGTATGGTTTTGAGGTTTTATTAAACTCTGCGGTGTTTATGGTACAGCATACAAAAATGAATGTACACTTAAAGCCAGGAGAGCTTTCAAAATGGTACTGTATTTAGTATCTAGCACCGAAAAAAACAATTTTTTTACAAACATTCATCATAGTTGTCATATAGAGTTAATCAACATTTTTAAAAAATTGAGCTTTATGAAGGCACTCTGCTAAGAGGGTCTAATTATATGTTAACAAGAGGGTCCAATTATACTTTGAGTGGTCAGGGATCCACATGTTAAGAACCTGTATACACTTTTTGACTATCATTGGAACATCCTTTTGTACATGATTCCTTTTGCTCTTATGTGCAGCATTTGCAGTTCTTCCTTACATAGCTATAAATAATGTACTTTCTCCTACTTTGTTTTAAATTGCATACATTTATTTAAGATCAAAGCTGCAGCCTATTTGGAGACAAAAAATAGTGGAACAAGATATGTTTAGGCATGAAAAAGACAGGGGCAATTAAACGCCTTCTTCGGCAGACTAGACAAATAAATAGAAATTTAAATCCCATGTGTTTGATGATTCTGATCAAAATGCAGCTCTTAAAGTCTGTATTTTAAATATCATTCTAGAATTGCATTTATTATTTTTATTTGTACATCCCACAGTTTTCTCTTAATTCCTGTTTGATATTTTTTCCTCCTCAACCAGTGCACTTCAGGGTTTTGGATTCTTTTTAAATGCTTATTTTTCTCATACCTATCAATTGGAATGAGGTTTGCAGTATTTATTTACCAAATTTGATATTAAGTTTATATTGCCATGTTTGTCTCACTTTTTAAATTGAGATTTACTGGCAGATTTTTGAATACCCAATATTAAAGCATTGCGGGTCATTTGCATCATGCCCAAAAAAAATATAGGTTTGTATATACAGCTCAGAAATTCAAAAAGATTTTTTTTTTTTTTCAATGCCAATGTTGAAAATGCATAAACTTGCCAAAGAGTTTACTCATTCCTAGTGTACATTTGTTAAAAGATATTTAAAAAAACCTATGAATTATATGCTCATTTGATTTTGCAAAACTGGGTGCAGCTGCTTTTTTAAACCATATCACAAGATCATGGTGTTTAAACAAATTCTTTTCTTTAATTTTAATATTTGTGTATAAATATTTATATAATGTGTTATAAAATCTCTGGCATGATGCTCCAATATGGACCAAAAATTGGTGAAAAATTGAAGTTTACAAGTGTAATATACAATCATCATTTTGCCAAGGCCTACGTGTGTGAAGCTATGGTGACTCCAATAATACTATCCTGTAATGATATGTAGATAAAGTGTTAGTCATTCAATAATTAATCACATAATGATGAACATTTATTGATTTCATTGAAAATGACTGCCATTTTGGTTTTTGTTGATTTGTACTGTTACATATTGATTGTAACTCTTCCAATCGAAAAGAAAAATGTGCAAATTATTAAAGTCTGTGTTCCATTTTACCTTTGGAAAAAGTATAACTTCCCTTTATTAGTTTCCAGAGAAGTTAAAATGAATATATATTGCACTTTATATCTTACTTTATATATATTTTAGCGAATTGCGTTTTCTTTAAATTTTTCCAAAATTTCATGTTTGTTACTTCAAGCTGTTACATAGAACTTGTTGGTACTTTGTTAACCCCGGGCTAGTTGTGTTGATCAGACCCTATTGTAAATGCTTTGCACTTTATTTTTGTTTCTCTTTAAATTTGAGTAAAAAATAAATTTTAACATTACCGCTCCGTTTTCATTCGTTTTCTTTGTGGATTAAAAGATTGGTAAAGTGGTACAGGTGTATTTGGAACAGACAGACAGAATTGTAAAATTTAAATAAAGATTAAGAAAAAATTAATATTATATATCTTTGGATATTACAAGTAAAATGAGAATTATAACTCACATTTTTTAAAACTAAAATTTATAGGAATATAAAAACTCAAAACATTTTAGCTTAAAATAAGGATTTTATGATAACATTCAAGCTTATAACTCCAATTCATGGAATGCAATAAAGATTAAGTTTGTAATTTATCTTAGTTTAAAATGGACTTTTTAAACTTTAAATAATTTGCTTTATGTATTAATAAAGTTAACTTAGTTTTTATTAATTAATTAGTACTTACGCAACTCTCAGACTATTTTAAGCCAGATTAATGAGTAGTAACATTAAAAACTATATCACATAATTTCATTGCCCCTAACACATTGGCCACCTTTTAAATAATGCTGCAGGTGCCTTTACCTAAACTTTGATTTATGTTGAGGCATTAGACTTCAACAAGATTGTTTCATTCCAGGTAAAGATAATCCCATAAATGACTTCACCTATTCTGATCCTTAGGCCCACTACCACTGCAGCCTTTTAATATAATGGAAAACTCTGCCATGGAATCTGTGGTCACTGGACAATGCAAGTGTTCTGAAGCACAAAAAAATGGATTCCATAAATTTCTATATAAAAAAATAAATAGAAATTTGAAAAAGTATAAAAGATTCTAAACACAATTTTTAGATTCCTGCTAAAAATTAGACTCCACAAGAATCAAGGATTACTTTTTATTTAGATTGTTAACTTAACAGAGGAAGTTTTAGTCCTTGTAATTGTGTGGGACTGGGTGCCATGGTATTAATGTCATATTAAATAAGTTTTTCATTAAAAAAAAAAGTCAATTTAAGAAAAAAAAGAAATCAAATATATATGGTTCCTGACAAGTAGAGTAGACAAAAATCTCTTATTTAAAAGAAAATAAATTACTAATTCCTATAGTTTTTTAAATACATTTTAACATAAAAAATTAGTCAATTTTTTAAATAAAATTTCTTTGTAAAATAGAATTTTTAATGCTATGAATAGTTTCTACTTCCATTATGTATTGTAAATATTATTATGCCAAATAAAACTTCAAAATACATTGATCTCGGTTTGTCTGGGCACTATCGGTAAACAGTTGTACCGCATGTAAACTAAACTAATAACACGATGGATGAAGACTTTGCTAACATTTCTCTTAATTTAGTAGCAGAAGACATTCGTGAAAGTAAAACAAATAAAATACATGGAAACAGAGTGGGTTTTAATTATTTTTTGGCTACCAATTTTATTTCCCCTTGTCTAAAGAACTTTAAAATTTAGGCATTTTTATCTAGTACAGCTCCACAATTCGACAATCGCTAGACTAGTTTAGTACTAGTCTAGTCACTGATCACTCAGTCACTTCAGTGAGTCACTCACTCACTACAAGGCCGAACAGCCTAAGAAAGAATAATTTAATGTTTACTAAATAAAAACAAGTGTGACTAATAAGTTATCCCTAGCCTTATAATTTTTATCCACACAGCTCTGTGAATAACGCCGAGCGTTATCGGCAGACCGAAATCTGCGAATAATGCCGAGTGTTATTGTTAGACAGAAATGTTCCCATAATTACGCACATTTCTAGAAATAATTAGGATCACATTCCAAGCGAGGGTGGGGGTGTAGTTTTAAGTAGTGTAGGATAGATAGATCGTTAATGAGAATGGCACAAACACATCTCAAAACCGAAGCTACCGGTATGCACAAGTTAAATTTTTAAAAATTTAATAGGCCTAACTATAGCCTATATATTGGAAATGACAATTAATTGTGCCAACATCTGCTCTGTTAGGGGCCAACATATTCGACC